GCACACTTTAAAACGACAGCACACGAAGAAGCTCATTCTACTACGACTAAGTCACAAGAGCCAATACACACATCAAAATATAAAACACTTAGAGATCAGGAGAAGCTAACACAGGAAGTAATTGAGTTAGAGAATTTTACGAAGAACATTTTAGATAAAACGGTAAAAAAAGCCAAGGGTAAGTATATATTAAGGTATACTTTAAGAAGATCAACAAAAAAGGCGTATTACTTTCTCTACAACTCGACCCTTATATCCCAAAACACATATTACACAAAACAAATAAATTCCAAAAAATCAAAACAAAACCATATACTAAATCAACACTTTTTTACACAGATACTGAACAAATCACAGACACAATACACACACAACAAAAGACACCAACACAAAAATCAGAAAAAAGAAAGCCGGAAGTGAAAGAATCTAAACAAATGATCGAAGAAAATTCCCAAGACGAAAAACCAAAAAAACAGGCTAAGCGCACTCAAACTATCAAAAAGGTCAAGGAGGATGATAAACAACCCGAAACAACTGTCACTGTGGAAGAAATTCCGGTAGAAGAAGAGCAGCCTGAAGAAATCAAGGAGCTTCCTGAGGAGGTCCGTGTGGTTGAAACTATCACCGAGGACGGCAAGCCCAAGAAAAAGAAGATCCGAACTCGCGTTATCAAGAAGGTCAAGGGAGACAAACAAGAAGTCACCAAGATTGAAACCGTCGAGGAGGATGATAAACAACCCGAGACAACTGTCACTGTGGAAGAAATACCGGTAGAAGAAGAGCAGCCAGAAGAAATCAAGGAGCTTCCTGAGGAGGTCCGTGTGGTTGAAACTATCACCGAGGACGGCAAGCCCAAGAAGAAGAAGATCCGAACTCGCGTTATCAAGAAGGTCAAGGGAGACAAACAAGAAGTCACCAAGATTGAAACCGTCGAGGAGGATGATAAACAACCCGAGACAACTGTCACTGTGGAAGAAATCCCGGTTGAGGAAGAGCAGCCAGAAGAAATCAAGGAGCTTCCTGAGGAGGTCCGTGTGGTTGAAACTATCACCGAGGACGGCAAGCCCAAGAAGAAGAAGATCCGAACTCGCGTTATCAAGAAGGTCAAGGGAGACAAACAAGAAGTCACCAAGATTGAAACCGTCGAGGAGGATGATAAACAACCCGAGACAACTGTCACTGTGGAAGAAATACCGGTTGAGGAAGAGCAGCCTGAAGAAATCAAGGAGCTTCCTGAGGAGGTCCGTGTGGTTGAAACTATCACCGAGGACGGCAAGCCCAAGAAGAAGAAGATCCGAACCCGGGTTATCAAGAAGGTCAAGGGAGACAAACAAGAAGTCACCAAGATTGAAACCGTCGAGGAGGATGATAAACAACCCGAGACAACTTTCACTGTGGAAGAAATCCCGGTTGAGGAAGAGCAGCCTGAAGAAATCAAGGAGCTTCCTGAGGAGGTACGTGTGGTTGAAACTATTACCGAGGACGGCAAGCCCAAGAAGAAGAAGATCCGAACTCGCGTTATCAAGAAGGTCAAGGGAGACAAACAAGAGGTCACCAAGATTGAAACCGTCGAGGAGGATGATAAACAACCCGAGACAACTGTCACTGTGGAAGAAATCCCGGTTGAGGAAGAGCAGCCTGAAGAAATCAAGGAGCTTCCTGAGGAGGTACGTGTGGTTGAAACTATTACCGAGGACGGCAAGCCCAAGAAGAAGAAGATCCGAACTCGCGTTATCAAGAAGGTCAAGGGAGACAAACAAGAAGTCACCAAGATTGAAACCGTCGAGGAGGATGATAAACAACCCGAGACAACTGTCACTGTGGAAGAAATCCCGGTTGAGGAAGAGCAGCCTGAAGAAATCAAGGAGCTTCCTGAGGAGGTCCGTGTGGTTGAAACTATCACCGAGGACGGCAAGCCCAAGAAAAAGAAGATCCGAACTCGCGTTATCAAGAAGGTCAAGGGAGACAAACAAGAAGTCACCAAGATTGAAACCGTCGAGGAGGATGATAAACAACCCGAGACAACTGTCACTGTGGAAGAAATCCCGGTTGAGGAAGAGCAGCCTGAAGAAATCAAGGAGCTTCCTGAGGAGGTCCGTGTGGTTGAAACTATCACCGAGGACGGCAAGCCCAAGAAGAAGAAGATCCGAACTCGCGTTATCAAGAAGGTCAAGGGAGACAAACAAGAAGTCACCAAAATTGAAACCGTCGAGGAGGATGATAAACAACCCGAGACAACTGTCACTGTGGAAGAAATACCGGTTGAGGAAGAGCAGCCTGAAGAAATCAAGGAGCTTCCTGAGGAGGTCCGTGTGGTTGAAACTATCACCGAGGACGGCAAGCCCAAGAAGAAGAAGATCCGAACCCGGGTTATCAAGAAGGTCAAGGGTGACAAACAAGAAGTCACCAAGATTGAAACCGTCGAGGAGGATGATAAACAACCCGAGACAACTGTCACTGTGGAAGAAATTCCGGTAGAAGAAGAGCAGCCTGAAGAAATCAAGGAGCTTCCTGAGGAGGTCCGTGTGGTTGAAACTATCACCGAGGACGGCAAGCCCAAGAAAAAGAAGATCCGAACTCGCGTTATCAAGAAGGTCAAGGGAGACAAACAAGAAGTCACCAAGATTGAAACCGTCGAGGAGGATGATAAACAACCCGAGACAACTGTCACTGTGGAAGAAATCCCGGTTGAGGAAGAGCAGCCTGAAGAAATCAAGGAGCTTCCTGAGGAGGTCCGTGTGGTTGAAACTATTACCGAGGACGGCAAGCCCAAGAAGAAGAAGATCCGAACTCGCGTTATCAAGAAGGTCAAGGGAGACAAACAAGAAGTCACCAAGATTGAAACCGTCGAGGAGGATGACAAACAACCCGAGACAACTGTCACTGTGGAAGAAATTCCGGTTGAGGAAGAGCAGCCTGAAGAAATCAAGGAGCTTCCTGAGGAGGTCCGTGTGGTTGAAACTATCACTGAGGACGGCAAGCCCAAGAAGAAGAAGATCCGAACTCGCGTTATCAAGAAGGTCAAGGGAGACAAACAAGAGGTCACCAAGATTGAAACCGTCGAGGAGGATGATAAACAACCCGAGACAACTGTCACTGTGGAAGAAATCCCGGTTGAGGAAGAGCAGCCTGAAGAAATCAAGGAGCTTCCTGAGGAGGTACGTGTGGTTGAAACTATTACCGAGGACGGCAAGCCCAAGAAGAAGAAGATCCGAACTCGCGTTATCAAGAAGGTCAAGGGAGACAAACAAGAAGTCACCAAGATTGAAACCGTCGAGGAGGATGATAAACAACCCGAGACAACTGTCACTGTGGAAGAAATCCCGGTTGAGGAAGAGCAGCCTGAAGAAATCAAGGAGCTTCCTGAGGAGGTACGTGTGGTTGAAACTATTACCGAGGACGGCAAGCCCAAGAAGAAGAAGATCCGAACTCGCGTTATCAAGAAGGTCAAGGGAGACAAACAAGAAGTGACCAAGATTGAAACCGTCGAGGAGGATGATAAACAACCCGAGACAACTGTCACTGTGGAAGAAATCCCGGTTGAGGAAGAGCAGCCTGAAGAAATCAAGGAGCTTCCTGAGGAGGTCCGTGTGGTTGAAACTATCACTGAGGACGGCAAGCCCAAGAAGAAGAAGATCCGAACTCGCGTTATCAAGAAGGTCAAGGGAGACAAACAAGAAGTCACCAAAATTGAAACCGTCGAGGAGGATGATAAACAACCCGAGACAACTGTCACTGTGGAAGAAATCCCGGTTGAGGAAGAGCAGCCTGAAGAAATCAAGGAGCTTCCTGAGGAGGTCCGTGTGGTTGAAACTATCACCGAGGACGGCAAGCCCAAGAAAAAGAAGATCCGAACTCGCGTTATCAAGAAGGTCAAGGGAGACAAACAAGAAGTCACCAAAATTGAAACCGTCGAGGAGGATGATAAACAACCCGAGACAACTGTCACTGTGGTAGAAATCCCGGTTGAGGAAGAGCAGCCTGAAGAAATCAAGGAGCTTCCTGAGGAGGTCCGTGTGGTTGAAACTATCACCGAGGACGGCAAACCCAAGAAGAAGAAGATCCGAACTCGCGTTATCAAGAAGGTCAAGGGAGACAAACAAGAAGTCACCAAGATTGAAACCGTCGAGGAGGATGATAAACAACCCGAAACAACTGTCACTGTGGAAGAAATCCCGGTAGAGGAAGAGCAGCCTGAAGAAATCAAGGAGCTTCCTGAGGAGGTCCGTGTGGTTGAAACTATCACCGAGGACGGCAAGCCCAAGAAGAAGAAGATCCGAACTCGCGTTATCAAGAAGGTCAAGGGAGACAAACAAGAAGTCACCAAGATTGAAACCATCGAGGAGGATGATAAACAACCCGAGACAACTGTCACTGTGGAAGAAATCCCGGTTGAGGAAGAGCAGCCTGAAGAAATCAAGGAGCTTCCTGAGAAGGTCCGTGTGGTTGAAACTATTACCGAGGACGGCAAGCCCAAGAAGAAGAAGATCCGAACTCGCATTATCAAGAAGGTCAAGGGAGACAAACAAGAAGTCACCAAGATTGAAACCGTCGAGGAGGATGATAAACAACCCGAGACAACTGTCACTGTGGAAGAAGTTCCGGTTGAGGAAGAGCAGCCAGAAGAAATCAAGGAGCTTCCTGAGGAGGTACGTGTGGTTGAAACTATCACCGAGGACGGCAAGCCCAAGAAGAAGAAGATCCGAACTCGCGTTATCAAGAAGGTCAAGGGTGACAAACAAGAAGTCACCAAGATTGAAACCGTCGAGGAGGATGATAAACAACCCGAGACAACTGTCACTGTGGAAGAAGTTCCGGTAGAGGAAGAGCAGCCTGAAGAAATTCAGGAGCTTCCTGAGGAGGTTCGTGTTGTTGAAACTATCACCGAGGAAGGCAAGCCCAAGAAGAAGAAGATCCGAACTCGCATTATCAAGAAGGTCAAGGGAGACAAACAAGAAGTCACCAAGATTGAAACCATCGAGGAGGATGATAAACAACCCGAAACAACTGTCACTGTGGAAGAAATGCCGGTTGAGGAAGAGCAGCCTGAAGAAATCAAGGAGCTTCCTGAGGAGGTCCGTGTTGTTGAAACTATCACCGAGGACGGCAAGCCCAAGAAAAAGAAGATCCGAACTCGCGTTATCAAGAAGGTCAAGGGAGACAAACAAGAAGTCACCAAGATTGAAACCATCGAGGAGGATGATAAACAACCCGAAACAACTGTCACTGTGGAAGAAATGCCGGTTGAGGAAGAGCAGCCTGAAGAAATCAAGGAGCTTCCTGAGGAGGTCCGTGTTGTTGAAACTATCACCGAGGACGGCACGCCCAAGAAGAAGAAGATCCGAACTCGCGTTATCAAGAAGGTCAAGGGAGACAAACAAGAAGTCACCAAGATTGAAACCGTCGAGGAGGATGATAAACAACCCGAGACAACTGTCACTGTGGAAGAAATCCCGGTTGAGGAAGAGCAGCCAGAAGAAATCAAGGAGCTTCCTGAGGAGGTCCGTGTGGTTGAAACTATCACCGAGGACGGCAAGCCCAAGAAAAAGAAGATCCGAACTCGCGTTATCAAGAAGGTCAAGGGAGACAAACAAGAAGTCACCAAGATTGAAACCGTCGAGGAGGATGATAAACAACCCGAGACAACTGTCACTGTGGAAGAAATCCCGGTTGAGGAAGAGCAGCCAGAAGAAATCAAGGAGCTTCCTGAGGAGGTTCGTGTGGTTGAAACTATCACCGAGGACGGCAAGCCCAAGAAAAAGAAGATCCGAACTCGCGTTATCAAGAAGGTCAAGGGAGACAAACAAGAAGTCACCAAGATTGAAACCGTCGAGGAGGATGATAAACAACCCGAGACAACTGTCACTGTGGAAGAAATCCCGGTTGAGGAAGAGCAGCCTGAAGAAATCAAGGAGCTTCCTGAGGAGGTCCGTGTGGTTGAAACTATTACCGAGGACGGCAAGCCCAAGAAGAAGAAGATCCGAACTCGCGTTATCAAGAAGGTCAAGGGAGACAAACAAGAAGTCACCAAGATTGAAACCGTCGAGGAGGATGATAAACAACCCGAGACAACTGTCACTGTGGAAGAAGTTCCGGTAGAGGAAGAGCAGCCTGAAGAAATCCAGGAGCTTCCTGAGGAGGTTCGTGTGGTTGAAACAATCACTGAGGACGGCAAGCCCAAGAAAAAGAAGATCCGAACTCGCGTTATCAAGAAGGTCAAGGGAGACAAACAAGAAGTCACCAAGATTGAAACCGTCGAGGAGGATGATAAACAACCCGAGACAACTGTCACTGTAGAAGAAATCCCGGTTGAGGAAGAGCAGCCTGAAGAAATCAAGGAGCTTCCTGAGGAGGTACTTGTGGTTGAAACTATCACCGAGGACGGCAAGCCCAAGAAGAAGAAGATCCGAACTCGCGTTATCAAGAAGGTCAAGGGTGATAAACAAGAAGTCACCAAGATTGAAACCGTCGAGGAGGATGATAAACAGCCCGAGACAACTGTCACTGTGGAAGAAATCCCGGTTGAGGAAGAGCAGCCTGAAGAAATCAAGGAGCTTCCTGAGGAGGTCCGTGTTGTTGAAACTATCACCGAGGACGGCAAGCCCAAGAAGAAGAAGATCCGAACTCGCGTTATCAAGAAGGTCAAGGGTGACAAACAAGAAGTCACCAAGATTGAAACCGTCGAGGAGGATGATAAACAGCCCGAGACAACTGTCACTGTGGAAGAAATCCCGGTTGAGGAAGAGCAGCCTGAAGAAATCAAGGAGCTTCCTGAGGAGGTCCGTGTTGTTGAAACTATCACCGAGGACGGCAAGCCCAAGAAGAAGAAGATCCGAACTCGCGTTATCAAGAAGGTCAAGGGTGATAAACAAGAAGTCACCAAGATTGAAACCGTCGAGGAGGATGATAAACAACCCGAGACAACTGTCACTGTGGAAGAAGTTCCGGTAGAGGAAGAGCAGCCTGAAGAAATCAAGGAGCTTCCTGAGGAGGTTCGTGTTGTTGAAACTATCACTGAGGACGGCAAGCCCAAGAAGAAGAAGATCCGAACTCGCGTTATCAAGAAGGTCAAGGGAGACAAACAAGAAGTCACCAAGATTGAAACCATCGAGGAGGATGATAAACAACCCGAGACAACTGTCACTGTGGAAGAAATTCCGGTAGAAGAAGAGCAGCCTGAAGAAATCAAGGAGCTTCCTGAGGAGGTACGTGTGGTTGAAACTATTACCGAGGACGGCAAGCCCAAGAAGAAGAAGATCCGAACTCGCGTTATCAAGAAGGTCAAGGGAGACAAACAAGAAGTCACCAAGATTGAAACCGTCGAGGAGGATGATAAACAACCCGAGACAACTGTCACTGTGGAAGAAGTTCCGGTAGAGGAAGAGCAGCCTGAAGAAATTCAGGAGCTTCCTGAGGAGGTTCGTGTTGTTGAAACTATCACCGAGGACGGCAAGCCCAAGAAGAAGAAGATCCGAACTCGCGTTATCAAGAAGGTCAAGGGTGACAAACAAGAAGTCACCAAGATTGAAACTGTCGAGGAGGATGATAAACAACCCGAGACAACTGTCACTGTGGAAGAAATCCCGGTTGAGGAAGAGCAGCCTGAAGAAATCAAGGAGCTTCCTGAGGAGGTTCGTGTTGTTGAAACTATCACTGAGGACGGCAAGCCCAAGAAGAAGAAGATCCGAACTCGCGTTATCAAGAAGGTCAAGGGAGACAAACAAGAAGTCACCAAGATTGAAACCGTCGAGGAGGATGATAAACAACCCGAGACAACTGTCACTGTGGAAGAAGTTCCGGTTGAGGAAGAGCAGCCTGAAGAAATCAAGGAGCTTCCTGAGGAGGTTCGTGTTGTTGAAACTATCACCGAGGACGGCAAGCCCAAGAAGAAGAAGATCCGAACTCGCGTTATCAAGAAGGTCAAGGGAGACAAACAAGAAGTCATCAAGATTGAAACCATCGAGGAGGATGATAAACAACCCGAGACAACTGTCACTGTGGAAGAAATTCTGGTAGAAGAAGAGCAGCCTGAAGAAATCAAGGAGCTTCCTGAGGAGGTCCGTGTGGTTGAAACTATCACCGAGGACGGCAAACCCAAGAAGAAGAAGATCCGAACTCGCGTTATCAAGAAGGTCAAGGGAGACAAACAAGAAGTCACCAAGATTGAAACCGTCGAGGAGGATGATAAACAACCCGAGACAACTGTCACTGTGGAAGAAATCCCGGTTGAGGAAGAGCAGCCTGAAGAAATCCAGGAGCTTCCTGAGGAGGTTCGTGTGGTTGAAACTATTACCGAGGACGGTAAGCCGAAGAAGAAGAAGATCCGAACTCGCGTTATCAAGAAGGTCAAGGGAGACAAACAAGAAGTCACCAAGATTGAAACCGTCGAGGAGGATGATAAACAACCCGAGACAACTGTCACTGTGGAAGAAATCCCGGTTGAGGAAGAGCAGCCAGAAGAAATCAAGGAGCTTCCTGAGGAGGTACGTGTGGTTGAAACTATCACCGAGGACGGCAAGCCCAAGAAGAAGAAGATCCGAACTCGCGTTATTAAGAAGGTCAAGGGTGACAAACAAGAAGTCACCAAGATTGAAACCGTCGAGGAGGATGATAAACAACCCGAGACAACTGTCACTGTGGAAGAAATCCCGGTTGAGGAAGAGCAGCCTGAAGAAATCAAGGAGCTTCCTGAGGAGGTTCGTGTTGTTGAAACTATCACTGAGGACGGCAAGCCCAAGAAGAAGAAGATCCGAACTCGCGTTATCAAGAAGGTCAAGGGAGACAAACAAGAAGTCACCAAGATTGAAACCGTCGAGGAGGATGATAAACAACCCGAGACAACTGTCACTGTGGAAGAAATCCCGGTTGAGGAAGAGCAGCCTGAAGAAATCAAGGAGCTTCCTGAGGAGGTTCGTGTGGTTGAAACTATTACCGAGGACGGCACACCCAAGAAGAAGAAGATCCGAACCCGGGTTATCAAGAAGGTCAAGGGAGGCAAACAAGAAGTCACCAAGATTGAAACCGTCGAGGAGGATGATAAACAACCCGAGACAACTGTCACTGTGGAAGAAATCCCGGTTGAGGAAGAGCAGCCTGAAGAAATCAAGGAGCTTCCTGAGGAGGTCCGTGTGGTTGAAACTATCACCGAGGACGGCAAACCCAAGAAGAAGAAGATCCGAACTCGCGTTATCAAGAAGGTCAAGGGAGACAAGCAAGAAGTCACCAAGATTGAAACCGTCGAGGAGGATGATAAACAACCCGAGACAACTGTCACTGTGGAAGAAGTTCCGGTAGAGGAAGAGCAGCCTGAAGAAATTCAGGAGCTTCCTGAGGAGGTTCGTGTGGTTGAAACTATTACCGAGGACGGCAAGCCCAAGAAGAAGAAGATCCGAACTCGCGTTATCAAGAAGGTCAAGGGAGACAAACAAGAAGTCACTAAGATTGAAACCGTCGAGGAGGATGATAAACAACCCGAGACAACTGTCACTGTGGAAGAAGTTCCGGTTGAGGAAGAGCAGCCAGAAGAAATCAAGGAGCTTCCTGAGGAGGTACGTGTGGTTGAAACTATCACCGAGGACGGCAAGCCCAAGAAGAAGAAGATCCGAACTCGCGTTATCAAGAAGGTCAAGGGTGACAAACAAGAAGTCACCAAGATTGAAACCGTCGAGGAGGATGATAAACAACCCGAGACAACTGTCACTGTGGAAGAAATCCCGGTTGAGGAAGAGCAGCCTGAAGAAATCAAGGAGCTTCCTGAGGAGGTTCGTGTGGTTGAAACTATTACCGAGGACGGCAAGCCCAAGAAGAAGAAGATCCGAACTCGCATTATCAAGAAGGTCAAGGGAGACAAACAAGAAGTCACCAAGATTGAAACCATCGAGGAGGATGATAAACAACCCGAGACAACTGTCACTGTGGAAGAAATCCCGGTTGAGGAAGAGCAGCCTGAAGAAATCAAGGAGCTTCCTGAGGAGGTCCGTGTGGTTGAAACTATCACCGAGGACGGCACGCCCAAGAAGAAGAAGATCCGAACTCGCGTTATCAAGAAGGTCAAGGGAGACAAACAAGAAGTCACCAAGATTGAAACCGTCGAGGAGGATGATAAACAACCCGAGACAACTGTCACTGTGGAAGAAATCCCGGTTGAGGAAGAGCAGCCTGAAGAAATTCAGGAGCTTCCTGAGGAGGTCCGTGTGGTTGAAACTATTACCGAGGACGGCAAGCCCAAGAAGAAGAAGATCCGAACTCGCGTTATCAAGAAGGTCAAGGGAGACAAACAAGAAGTCACCAAGATTGAAACCGTCGAGGAGGATGATAAACAACCCGAGACAACTGTCACTGTGGAAGAAGTTCCGGTTGAGGAAGAGCAGCCAGAAGAAATCAAGGAGCTTCCTGAGGAGGTACGTGTGGTTGAAACTATCACCGAGGACGGCAAGCCCAAGAAGAAGAAGATCCGAACTCGCGTTATCAAGAAGGTCAAGGGTGACAAACAAGAAGTCACCAAGATTGAAACCGTCGAGGAGGATGATAAACAACCCGAGACAACTGTCACTGTGGAAGAAATCCCGGTTGAGGAAGAGCAGCTTGAAGAAATCAAGGAGCTTCCTGAGGAGGTTCGTGTGGTTGAAACTATTACCGAGGACGGCAAGCCCAAGAAGAAGAAGATCCGAACTCGCATTATCAAGAAGGTCAAGGGAGACAAACAAGAAGTCACCAAGATTGAAACCATCGAGGAGGATGATAAACAACCCGAGACAACTGTCACTGTGGAAGAAATCCCGGTTGAGGAAGAGCAGCCTGAAGAAATCAAGGAGCTTCCTGAGGAGGTCCGTGTGGTTGAAACTATTACCGAGGACGGCACGCCCAAGAAGAAGAAGATCCGAACTCGCGTTATCAAGAAGGTCAAGGGAGACAAACAAGAAGTCACCAAGATTGAAACCGTCGAGGAGGATGATAAACAACCCGAGACAACTATCACTGTGAAAGAAATCCCGGTTGAGGAAGAGCAGCCTGAAGAAATCAAGGAGCTTCCTGAGGAGGTACGTGTGGTTGAAACTATTACCGAGGACGGCAAGCCCAAGAAGAAGAAGATCCGAACTCGCGTTATCAAGAAGGTCAAGGGAGACAAACAAGAAGTCACCAAGATTGAAACCGTCGAGGAGGATGATAAACAACCCGAGACAACTGTCACTGTGGAAGAAATCCCGGTTGAGGAAGAGCAGCCTGAAGAAATCAAGGAGCTTCCTGAGGAGGTTCGTGTGGTTGAAACTATTACCGAGGACGGCACACCCAAGAAGAAGAAGATCCGAACCCGGGTTATCAAGAAGGTCAAGGGAGACAAACAAGAAGTCACCAAGATTGAAACCGTCGAGGAGGATGATAAACAACCCGAAACAACTGTCACTGTGGAAGAAATCCCGGTTGAGGAAGAGCAGCCTGAAGAAATCAAGGAGCTTCCTGAGGAGGTACGTGTGGTTGAAACTATTACCGAGGACGGCAAGCCCAAGAAGAAGAAGATCCGAACTCGCGTTATCAAGAAGGTCAAGGGAGACAAACAAGAAGTCACCAAGATTGAAACCGTCGAGGAGGATGATAAACAACCCGAGACAACTGTCACTGTGGAAGAAATCCCGGTTGAGGAAGAGCAGCCTGAAGAAATCAAGGAGCTTCCTGAGGAGGTTCGTGTGGTTGAAACTATTACCGAGGACGGCACACCCAAGAAGAAGAAGATCCGAACCCGGGTTATCAAGAAGGTCAAGGGAGACAAACAAGAAGTCACCAAGATTGAAACCGTCGAGGAGGATGATAAACAACCCGAGACAACCGTCACTGTGGAAGAAATCCCGGTTGAGGAAGAGCAGCCTGAAGAAATCAAGGAGCTTCCTGAGGAGGTTCGTGTGGTTGAAACTATTACCGAGGACGGCACGCCCAAGAAGAAGAAGATCCGAACTCGCGTTATCAAGAAGGTCAAGGGAGACAAACAAGAAGTCACCAAGATTGAAACCGTCGAGGAGGATGATAAACAACCCGAGACAACTGTCACTGTGGAAGAAATCCCGGTTGAGGAAGAGCAGCCTGAAGAAATCAAGGAGCTTCCTGAGGAGGTACGTGTGGTTGAAACTATCACAGAGGACGGCACGCCCAAGAAGAAGAAGATCCGAACTCGCGTTATCAAGAAGGTCAAGGGAGACAAACAAGAAGTCACCAAGATTGAAACCGTCGAGGAGGATGATAAACAACCCGAGACAACTGTCACTGTGGAAGAAGTTCCGGTAGAGGAAGAGCAGCCTGAAGAAATTCAGGAGCTTCCTGAGGAGGTTCGTGTTGTTGAAACTATCACCGAGGACGGCAAGCCCAAGAAGAAGAAGATCCGAACTCGCGTTATCAAGAAGGTCAAGGGAGACAAACAAGAAGTCACCAAGATTGAAACTGTCGAGGAGGATGATAAACAACCCGAGACAACTGTCACTGTGGTAGAAATCCCGGTTGAGGAAGAGCAGCCTGAAGAAATCAAGGAGCTTCCTGAGGAGGTTCGTGTGGTTGAAACTATTACTGAGGACGGCAAGCCCAAGAAGAAGAAGATCCGAACTCGCGTTATCAAGAAGGTCAAGGGAGACAAACAAGAAGTCACCAAGATTGAAATAGTCGAGGAGGATGATAAACAACCCGAGACAACTGTCACTGTGGAAGAAATTCCGGTTGAGGAAGAGCAGCCTGAAGAAATCAAGGAGCTTCCTGAGGAGGTCCGTATGGTTGAAACTATCACAGAGGACGGCACGCCCAAGAAGAAGAAGATCCGAACTCGCGTTATCAAGAAGGTCAAGGGAGACAAACAAGAAGTCACCAAGATTGAAACCGTCGAGGAGGATGATAAACAACCCGAGACAACTGTCACTGTGGAAGAAGTTCCGGTAGAGGAAGAGCAGCCTGAAGAAATTCAGGAGCTTCCTGAGGAGGTTCGTGTTGTTGAAACTATCACCGAGGATGGCAAGCCCAAGAAGAAGAAGATCCGAACTCGCGTTATCAAGAAGGTCAAGGGAGACAAACAAGAAGTCACCAAGATTGAAACCGTCGAGGAGGATGACAAACAACCCGAGACAACTGTCACTGTGGAAGAAGTTCCGGTAGAGGAAGATCAGCCTGAAGAAATCAAGGAGCTTCCTGAGGAGGTTCGTGTGGTTGAAACTATTACGGAGGACGGCACACCCAAGAAGAAGAAGATCCGAACTCGCGTTATCAAGAAGGTCAAGGGAGACAAACAAGAAGTCACCAAGATTGAAACCGTCGAGGAGGATGATAAACAACCCGAGACAACTGTCACTGTGGAAGAAGTTCCGGTAGAGGAAGATCAGCCTGAAGAAATCAAGGAGCTTCCTGAGGAGGTTCGTGTGGTTGAAACTATTACGGAGGACGGCACACCCAAGAAGAAGAAGATCCGAACTCGCGTTATCAAGAAGGTCAAGGGAGACAAACAAGAAGTCACCAAGATTGAAACCGTCGAGGAGGATGATAAACAACCCGAGACAACTGTCACTGTGGAAGAAATCCCGGTTGAGGAAGAGCAGCCTGAAGAAATCAAGGAGCTTCCTGAGGAGGTCCGTGTGGTTGAAACTATTACCGAGGACGGCAAGCCCAAGAAGAAGAAGATCCGAACTCGCGTTATCAAGAAGGTCAAGGGTGACAAACAAGAAGTCACCAAGATTGAAACCGTCGAGGAGGATGATAAACAACCCGAGACAACTGTCACTGTGGAAGAAATCCCGGTTGAGGAAGAGCAGCCTGAAGAAATCAAGGAGCTTCCTGAGGAGGTTCGTGTGGTTGAAACTATTACCGAGGACGGCAAGCCCAAGAAGAAGAAGATCCGAACTCGCGTTATCAAGAAGGTCAAGGGAGACAAACAAGAAGTCACCAAGATTGAAACCGTCGAGGAGGATGACAAACAACCCGAGACAACTGTCACTGTGGAAGAAATTCCGGTTGAAGAAGAGCAGCCTGAAGAAATCCAGGAGCTTCCTGAGGAGGTACGTGTGGTTGAAACTATTACCGAGGACGGCAAGCCCAAGAAGAATAAGATCCGAACTCGCGTTATCAAGAAGGTCAAGGGAGACAAACAAGAAGTCACCAAGATTGAAACCGTCGAGGAGGATGATAAACAACCCGAGACAACTGTCACTGTGGAAGAAATCCCGGTTGAGGAAGAGCAGCCTGAAGAAATTCAGGAGCTTCCTGAGGAGGTCCGTGTGGTTGAAACTATTACCGAGGACGGCAAGCCCAAGAAGAAGAAGATCCGAACTCGCGTTATCAAGAAGGTCAAGGGAGACAAACAAGAAGTCACCAAGATTGAAACCGTCGAGGAGGATGATAAACAACCCGAGACAACTGTCACTGTGGAAGAAATCCCGGTTGAGGAAGAGCAGCCTGAAGAAATCAAGGAGCTTCCTGAGGAGGTTCGTGTGGTTGAAACTATTACCGAGGACGGCAAGCCCAAGAAGAAGAAGATCCGAACTCGCGTTATCAAGAAGGTCAAGGGAGACAAACAAGAAGTCACCAAGATGGAAACCGTCGAGGAGGATGATAAACAACCCGAGACAACTGTCACTGTGGAAGAAGTTCCGGTTGAGGAAGAGCAGCCAGAAGAAATCAAGGAGCTTCCTGAGGAGGTACGTGTGGTTGAAACTATCACCGAGGACGGCAAGCCCAAGAAGAAGAAGATCCGAACTCGCGTTATCAAGAAGGTCAAGGGTGACAAACAAGAAGTCACCAAGATTGAAACCGTCGAAGAGGATGATAAACAACCGGAGACAACTGTCACTGTGGAAGAAATCCCGGTTGAGGAAGAGCAGCCTGAAGAAATCAAGGAGCTTCCTGAGGAGGTTCGTGTGGTTGAAACTATTACCGAGGACGGCAAGCCCAAGAAGAAGAAGATCCGAACTCGCGTTATCAAGAAGGTCAAGGGAGACAAACAAGAAGTCACCAAGATTGAAACCGTCGAGGAGGATGATAAACAACCCGAGACAACTGTCACTGTGGAAGAAATCCCGGTTGAGGAAGAGCAGCCTGAAGAAATCAAGGAGCTTCCTGAGGAGGTCCGTGTGGTTGAAACTATCACCGAGGACGGCACGCCCAAGAAGAAGAAGATCCGAACTCGCGTTATCAAGAAGGTCAAGGGGGACAAACAAGAAGTCACCAAGATTGAAACCGTCGAGGAGGATGACAAACAACCCGAGACAACTGTCACTGTGGAAGAAATTCCGGTTGAAGAAGAGCAGCCTGAAGAAATCAAGGAGCTTCCTGAGGAGGTCCGTGTGGTTGAAACTATCACCGAGGACGGCACGCCCAAGAAGAAGAAGATCCGAACTCGCGTTATCAAGAAGGTCAAGGGAGACAAACAAGAAGTCACCAAGATTGAAACCGTCGAGGAGGATGATAAACAACCCGAGACAACTGTCACTGTGGAAGAAGTTCCGGTTGAGGAAGATCAGCCTGAAGAAATCAAGGAGCTTCCTGAGGAGGTTCGTGTGGTTGAAACTATTACGGAGGACGGCACACCCAAGAAGAAGAAGATCCGAACTCGCGTTATCAAGAAGGTCAAGGGAGACAAACAAGAAGTCACCAAGATTGAAACCGTCGAGGAGGATGATAAACAACCCGAGACAACTGTCACTGTGGAAGAAGTTCCGGTAGAGGAAGATCAGCCTGAAGAAATCAAGGAGCTTCCTGAGGAGCTTCGTGTGGTTGAAACTATTACGGAGGACGGCAAGCCCAAGAAGAAGAAGATCCGAACTCGCGTTATCAAGAAGGTCAAGGGAGACAAACAAGAAGTCACCAAGATTGAAACCGTCGAGGAGGATGATAAACAACCCGAAACAACTGTCACTGTGGAAGAAATGCCGGTTGAGGAAGAGCAGCCTGAAGAAATCAAGGAGCTTCCTGAGGAGGTCCGTGTTGTTGAAACTATCACCGAAGACGGCACGCCCAAGAAGAAGAAGATCCGAACTCGCGTTATCAAGAAGGTCAAGGGAGACAAACAAGAAGTCACCAAGATTGAAACCGTCGAGGAGGATGATAAACAACCCGAGACAACTGTCACTGTGGAAGAAATCCCGGTAGAGGAAGATCAGCCTGAAGAAATCAAGGAGCTTCCTGAGGAGGTTCGTGTGGTTGAAACTATCACCGAGGACGGCACGCCCAAGAAGAAGAAGATCCGAACTCGCGTTATCAAGAAGGTCAAGGGAGACAAACAAGAAGTCACCAAGATTGAAACCGTCGAGGAGGATGACAAACAACCCGAGACAACTGTCACTGTGGAAGAAATTCCGGTTGAGGAAGAGCAGCCTGAAGAAATCAAGGAGCTTCCTGAGGAGGTCCGTGTGGTTGAAACTATTACCGAGGACGGCACACCCAAGAAGAAGAAGATCCGAACTCGCGTTATCAAGAAGGTCAAGGGAGACAAACAAGAAGTCACCAAGATTGAAACCGTCGAGGAGGATGATAAACAACCCGAGACAACTGTCACTGTGGAAGAAGTTCCGGTAGAGGAAGAGCAGCCTGAAGAAATCAAGGAGCTTCCTGAGGAGGTTCGTGTGGTTGAAACTATTACCGAGGACGGCACGCCCAAGAAGAAGAAGATCCGAACTCGTGTTATCAAGAAGGTCAAGGGAGACAAACAAGAAGTCACCAAGATTGAAACCGTCGAGGAGGATGATAAACAACCCGAGACAACTGTCACTGTGGAAGAAATTCCGGTAGTGGAAGAGCAGCCTGAAGAAATCAAGGAGCTTCCTGAGGAGGTTCGTGTGGTTGAAACTATTACCGAGGACGGCACGCCCAAGAAGAAGAAGATCCGAACTCGTGTTATCAAGAAGGTCAAGGGGGACAAGCAAGAAGTCACCAAGATAGAAACAGTTGAGGAAGACAACAAAAAACCCGAAACAACAGTAACAGTTGAAGAAACTGAGTTAGGTTCCGTTAAGCTGAAGAAAAGAGTTATTGTTCAGAAACCCGAAGATGAAATAACGGTATTTGAATTGCCGGAGCAAAAATCGGTTATACTTTCTGAAAAGGAAGATGGTACTCCAACCAAAACTGTTATAAAAACCAAAATCATTAAAAGATACAAGGCCCGAACATGGAAGTGACAAAAGTGCAAACCGTGGAGGAATATGAGAAGACACCCCAAACAAAAGTATCTGTTGAAAAGTTTGGGTTGCCCTTCCCGGAACTTCCAGAAGAAACGATTTCTGAAGCTGTTATTTTGCCTGATGAAGTGTTCCAGTCTGATACTGTTGATGAAAATGGACTTCCAAAAACAATTAAAACTAAGAAGCGCATTATTAAAAAGCCTGTACTTGGTAATACTGAAGAAGTTACTGAAATTGAAATTATTGAACAAGACAATACTGAGCCCATTTATTCAATCTCAGTCAAAGAACAACCGTTATCCGATTTGATGGTGGACGAAAGTAAATCAGTTGAGCTGCCTGAACATGTGACGGAGTTGGAAATAGTTACACCCGATGGGACAAAAAAGAAAAAGACCGTAAAGTCACGAGCTTTTAAGAAGAATATCGACGATAAACTGGACGAAGTTACAACTGTTCACATAATAGAAGAGGAAGATAAGGAGCCAGTTACTACAGTAAAAATTGAGGTCGTACCTGCTGATGAGATCTCCATTACGCCCATACCAATTGAAGAACTTCCGGAGGAAACAGTGTTCACTGAAGAATTAGATCATAATAAAAAACCAAAAAAGAAGACTACCAAAACACGAACGTTTAAAAAGCCAGGTCCGGAGAACGACGAATATTTCCAAATTCAAACAATTGAAGAAGAGGGAAAGGAACCCTACACCCTTATACGAGTTGTGAGCGATGAAAATATTGCTGATATTATCGACATAAGTAAACTTGACGATGAAAAGGTTTTCAAACACAAACAAAAACCACACAAGCAGAAGGGTAAGAACACAAACAAACACACTATCACACACATTCTACACATAAGAATTCCATTGAAGTATACGCAAATTAAAGTCATTGTTTTTTTCGAGAATTAAAAAAATTGAATTATATTTTTATATTACATATGGATACTCGCGAAAGCACTTAATAACATATTTTTTTTAATAATTTCACACAACACAAAACAAACATAATCGCCTTAATTCAGAGGATGCACCAAGGGTCGATAACACAGAAACGGAACACCCAGTTTACATCACGACATTTAAATCTGTACAAAACGAAGATGGAGTAACAACTATACAAACTGAAAACAAACGAGTTTCTCAGGAGGAAGGCGTCGTTGTTGAGGAAGTTCTTAGTGATTCAGACCTCATTCCAGAAGACAAAACACAATCACACCTCGAAATTATAGAAATCGACGAGCCAACAGGTGATTTTTTCTTATTAAACACATTTATATCTATATATATATAAGTATATATATAAAGATATATACATACATAAAGATTTTTTTAGTAAAAAACAAAAGAAAGGTTTAACTAAATTAAATTCCAAATCTATAAAAATAGGTACTTTATCGTATTTTCCGCGTTTACAATTTATACAACTATATATAGAATATACATACCGAAGACTGCATACACAAAAACACGGTTAATATTCTGTAATTCTGTAATTATACTAACAATCTTCCCTAATCCACTCTTAAGTACGTAGGAACTAAAACTAAAACTGTACACTAGAAACCTAATACGTACAAGGGTTAATCTTTTACAAATTGGACAAAATTTCTTAAGTAAGAGTTTTGCTTAGCTTACCTTTTTTTAATAACTTACTATTTACCACAATTAAATTTGGGCAAAAACTTTCAAACATCCAACTACTTTACACTTTAAAAAAAAAAAAAAGAGAACGTTTGCCTTGTAAAAGAATAGCTCATAAATCAAATTTTAATCATTTCATAACACATGCAAGTCTTCACACAAAACTTTGTTTGTGTACAAAGTTTGTGCGTTTTAAAGCATTATACAAAATGCAAATATAAGTGTAAAAATTAGTTTAGTGCTAACACAAAACACATACTTCTTTCTCAAACAGACCAATACAACAAAGAGTACACAATCACTGAACCTGAAGAGGCAAGTGCAGACGCCATACAAAAACCGGCTAAAAACAAAAAACCTAAACAGAAAAAGACGCTTGAAACTTTAATTAACGAGGACGACGAAACTATTACTGAAGAACCGGTAACAGGGGAACTGACTGACAAGACAGCTAAAAAACAGAAGCCAGTAGGTGTAAAGGGTAAGGTTGAAGAGGTTATTGAGGATGAGAAATCAGCTGAAAAGAAGGTAAAAACAAAGAAAAAGAAAATCGTCAAGTCAAAACGGGATGAAATGGACGAATACATCCAATTTCTTATACACCAAGAAATACCAAAGACTGTTCTACAAGGATACAAACGTACGGAAATGGAGCTTCCGCAAAGGGCACGACGTGATTCGTCTTTTAAACAACCTGTTAAGCTTACACCTATGAAAATCGAGAAAGTTGAAATCAAAAGGCCAAAAATGGTTGAAATAAGTTCGGTAACTGAATTCCCACAGATGCTAAAGCTTAAAGCTCCTAAGCAACGACCCCAAGAACAGAAAAAGAAAAAGGACGAAGCATCATTTAAAAACAAAAAACTCAAGAGCTGGATCAGGTTTATACCATATGCACCATATTGCTTCCCATATGTGGTCAAAGAATTGGAAACAAATCGCGACACCGGGGAACTTTCCCGCAATGTTGATGAAGCAGAAGAGGTTTTAAAATTACGTCCAAGGAAATTCAAGCACACGAAACCCGAAAAGGCAGAACTAGAAGAAGTTGATCTTGAAGAACTCGAATCTGAAAAAACCGTATCGTCTGACGAGGACCGACCGAGGCCAAAGTACAAGCGCCCCAAAAAGGCTAAAGAAGAATCTACTGAAGAAGCCAGAATACTCAAGCTTGGAAAAGGCAAAATTCCACAAAATGTTGAGGAAGTTGAGGAAATTAATTTGAAACCGGTTATTCTTGATAGTACAGAGAAAAAGTTAAGGAACCAAAGAAGAAACGGAAGTTAGAGCTTAGGACGGACAAGGAAAATAACATTATTGAAATAACGGAGACCTCTCCCAAAGACGCAGATGAACCAATTTATGAAGTCACTGTCACCAGTTCTGAAACCGACCAAGATCATAAAACACCAAAGCCGATTCATAAGAAAAAATAAAGCGAATGAATAAAAAGGAATTGGATGATTTTGTCTCAGAACTAAAAGAAGAGCCAGATCAGAAGTCCTTTGAAACCAGCTTGCAAGATTTCTATGAGGTTAAGCTGACCGAATTGCCATCAGAAACCGATGCGCCTAAGAAGCGCAGAATAAGACATGAAAAGGGGAACGAGGTGGAAATTTTGGAAATTGTCGAAACAACTGACACTTCTGGGGAACAGCCCCTCTATGAAATCACTGTGTCTTCTACTGAAACTAAGGAAAGTGGAATAAAGCAACCTGAGACTCCTAAAAAGAAAACAAGAAAAATGAAAAAGGATGAGCTTGATGCCTACATTCAGCAACTGATAAATGCCGAGATCCCAGTAACTGAACTGGAAAAGTATGAGAAAATCGATGTAGATGGCAAGCCCAAAAAACCGAAGAAGCAAAAGATTAAACTTGAGAAACCTGTTATAGAAGAAGGCGAAACTCTTGAAGTAGGAATCACGGAGCATGAGCCAATCGAAAAACCGAAAATAAAGAAAACTAAATCGAAGAAGGTAATCAATGAAGAAGAAAGCGTTGTACCAGAGATTGTTCCCGCATTTGAAGAATTTCTTATCAAAAAAATTGACGTCGAGCATACTCCAGAGTCAAATATTCAAAAAGAAGACGAAGAAATCTTACCGGCATTGGATACGATCTTGTCAGATTTAAGCGAATCTCTCCCAATTGAAGTGGTTGAGGAAGATCTTGTGTTTATTCCATTACCTTCTAATGAAATTAGTACACCAAAGGATACCGTTGAAAAGAAACGCAAGATCAAAACCAGAAAAGGTTCTAAGCATTACGAAATTGAAATTATTGAATCGAAGGCCTTGGACGATGAACTAGATGAAGCAAAGGTTATAGTTAAAACGACAGAAGTTTCTGAAGATGCAACTGATGGACCAGATACGGTTAAACCGAAAACTCCAAAAACAACCGTCAAAAAGGTGAAAAAGGAGAAGCTTAAGGAATTCATAGTCAACATTGTGGAAGAAGCCCCGTTAGAACATATTGCTGCAATATCTGAGGATATTACAGAAACTCCTGTAAGAGAAAGTTCAGTGGAAGATGATTTAATTGCGTTTACCACAACAGTAGTTGATGAGGATATAACGGAAGAAGTTTTATTACAAGAAAACAAAGCTGAAGATGTTTCAACTCGGCCAAACGATAAGAAAAAGAAAAAGGAGAAACCTAAGAAGGTACAGATATCTGAAACAACACCAATTCAGATTTCTGAGGACTCTGAGGTTTTGGAAGACACAAGAAATATCTCAGAATCTGACGACATATCGCAAGTGGAGGACTATTTAGTAGAAGTAAAAGATAGTTTGCCGAAGTCCAAAACCAAAACGACTAGGAAACCTATTAAGAAATCTCCGTCTGAACCTACTTCCCAATATACTATTCGTGTTGAGGAGTTAGCCTCAGAAACTGTTACGGATAAAATAGTAAACGAAGATGGTAAGGAAGTGGAACGTGTCATCACCAAACGTAAGCTTAAAAAGAAGGAGGGACCAAAGGAATTTTTGATTGACGTTGTTGAAACGTATGAAGAAAATAAGCCGGAAACTGATATTGAAATCAGCACTACGGAAATAACTCCATCTATTGATTCTTCCACTCAAGGAGAGTATAAAATCAAGATTGTGAAGAAAAGAAAGCCACAGACTGAAAGCTTGGACAGCTTTATTCATGAATTGATAGAACAAGAAATTCCAAAAACAGAACTTGAAGAGCAGGAATTAACTGAGTTGGAGACTTCTACCAAAGTAAAAAAACCTAGGAAAATTAAAAAACATCACAAAAAAATTAGTGAGATTAACGACGGCATACCGTTTACTGTGCATGAGTTTACTGTACAAGAGTTTGATTCTGATGAAGACGACAACACGCTTGAAAACGTCAGACTAATGGAATCTGATGCTGAGGACACCGACGAAACTCTTCAGAATCTGCAGGTCAAAATCATTGAAGACAAGCCTAAGCGAAGACCGATAAAAGCGTTTAAGTCCAAAATTGTTGATGACGAACAACCACAAGCAAAGGTAGAAGAGTTGTCGGAAGTCGTAGAAGTTTTACAGGTTACCGAAGAAGATGGCACACCCAAGGAAATTAAAATAAAGAAAAAGAAAGTTTCCCGCAAGCAAGGGTCGAAGGAACAAATCTTTGAAATCACCGAGACAAAAACAACTGATGAGCCTTTGGCTGAGGTAACAATTGTTGAAGTTACAGAAGAGAAACCTAGGGAAGAAACTATTTCTCCGAAGGAAAAGAAAACAATTAAGAAACCAAAGAAACTAAAACCTGAGGACGTTGATAGCTACGTAGTTAATGTACTAGAAGAATTCAACGAACCTCAGAGCTTTGATGAGATCGAACAGCCAGTCATTGAAGATATTGCAGAGACTGTGGAAATCGTACAAGTTACTGAAGATAATGGCACACCAAAACAGGTTGAAATCAGGAAGAAGAAAGTTTCCCGTAAGCAAGGGCCGAAAGAACAAATCTTCGAAATCACCGAGACAAAAACAACTGATGAGCCTTTGGCTGAGGTAACAATTGTTGAAGTTACAGAAGAGAAACCAAGGGAAGAAATTATTTCTCCAAAGGAAAAGAAACCAATTAAGAAACCAAAGAAACTAAAACCTGAGGACGTTGATAGCTACGTAGTTAAAGTGCTAGAAGAATTTAACGAACCTCAGAGCTTTGATGAGATCGAACAGCCAGTCATTGAAGATATTGCAGAGACTGTGGAGATCGTACAAGTTACTGAAGATAGTGGCACACCAAAACAGGTTGAAATCAGGAAGAAGAAGGTTTCCCGTAAGCAAGGCCCGAAAGAACAAATCTTCGAAATCACCGAAACAAAAACCACTGATGAGCCTTTGGCTGAAGTAACAATTGTTGAAGTTACAGAAGAGAAACCAAGGGAAGAAATTATTTCTCCGAAGGAAAAGAAACCAATTAAGAAACCAAAGAAACTAAAACCTGAGGACGTTGATAGCTACGTAGTTAATGTACTAGAAGAATTTAACGAACCGCAGATCGAACAGCCAGTCATTGAAGATATTGCAGAGACTGTGAAAATCGTACAAGTTACTGAAGATAGTGGCACACCAAAACAGGTTGAAATTAGGAAAAAGAAGGTTTCCCGTAAGCAAGGCCCGAAAGAACAAATCTTCGAAATCACCGAGACAAAAACAACTGATGAGCCCTTGGCTGAGGTAACAATTGTTGAAGTTACAGAAGAGAAACCAAGGGAAGAAATTATTTCTCCGAAGGAAAAGAAACCAATTAAGAAACCAAAGAAACTTAAACCTGAGGACGTTGATAGCTACGTAGTTAATGTACTAGAAGAATTCAACGAACCTCAGAGCTTTGATGAGATCGAACAGCCAGTTATAGAAGATATTGCAGAGACTGTGGAAATCGTACAAGTTACTGAAGATAGTGGCACACCAAAACAGGTTGAAATCAGGAAGAAGAAGGTTTCCCGTAAGCAAGGGCCGAAAGAACAAATCTTCGAAATCACCGAGACAAAAACAACTGATGAGCCCTTGGCTGAGGTAACAATTGTTGAAGTTACAGAAGAGAAACCAAGGGAAGAAATTATTTCTCCGAAGGAAAAGAAACCAATTAAGAAACCAAAGAAACTGAAACCTGAGGACGTTGATAGCTACGTAGTTAATGTACTAGAAGAATTTAACGAACCGCAGAGCATTGATGAGCCAGTCATTGAGAATATTGCAGAGACCGTAGAAATTGTAACTGTTACTGAAGATGACGGACTACCGAAACAAACAGAAATTAAAAAGAAAAAGGTTTCTCGAAAACAAGGTGCTAAGGAGCAAGTCTTTGAAATAACTGAAACAAAAACTTCTGATGAACCGTTGGCTGAGGTTACAATAGTTGAGGTTACAGATGAGCAACCTAAAAACGACATTCCTCTGCCTATGGACAGAAAACTGATAAAGAAACCGAAGAAAATGAAGCTTGAAGACGTGAAAAGCTATGTAATTAATGTTCTAGAGGGGTTAGAGGAGCCATATCAGTTTGAGGAGCTAGAAGTTGAAGAAAATATAAAAACCAAAAAACCAAAGAAAACCAGCGAAAAACCGGTTGAAAAGAAGATCCTTATTGAAGAAATGGCACCTACAACTGTCGTTGAGAATATTGTTAATGACAAGGAAGAGGAAGTTAAACAAGTAACGACAACTAAAAAGCTTAAGAAAAAGGAAGGTCCTAAGCAGTATCTCATTGAAGTTACTGAACAGTATCAAGAAAACAATCCAGAAGCCGACATAGAGATTGCTACAACTGAATTAACTTTAGGTGACATGCCAGACGTCGAAGATGATCAACCAGTCAAGGTTCTTCAAAAGGTTAAAAAGAAGAAGGCTGTTAAGGATGATCTTGACAAATACATACAACAACTAATCGAACAAGAAATTACAAAAACGCCTCTTGAAGAATACGAGCCTACAGAAATGGGTGCCAAGCCAAAGAAGCCCAAACAAAAGGTAAAAACTCATCATAAAAAGATTGTTGAAGATGATGAGGGACTACCCGTTATAGTTCACGAATTCGATGTTGAAGAAGTCGTACCAGTACACGAGGAGCCCGATCAACCCGAGACTTTCTCAGAGGAAGTCGCAGAAGAATCACAACTGCCCGATTCTGATAAATACGTTGTAGGCATAACTGAAGAATTTGTTGAAGCTGATCAGCCAAACGAAAAATCTCCTGAGGACGAACAGAAGCCTACTAAAATGAAAAAACCATTGAAAAAGGAAAAGGTTGATAAGGTTTTCGAGCCATTGGAAGAAATTGAACAGACTGTTGAAGTTGTAGCACAACCCACTGAGGATGGATCTGTAAAAGATGTAACTGTTAAAAAACGAAAAGTATCCCGCAGAAAAGGGTCAAAAGAGCATATTTTCGAAATTACGGAAAAATCAAGTGATGATTTGCCTGAAGCTGAAGTTACAGTAGTAGAGTTAACCAGCGACAACGTCCAAATTTCCGACGAACTGCCAAAGACTAAACAAAAAATTAAGAAGCCGAAGCAGTTAAGGAAGGATGAAGTTGAAGATTATGTTATTAATGTTATTGATGAATTCGTTCAGCCAGTTGACTATGAGTTAGTTGAAAGTGAAGTAGAAGAAGTTAAGAAGGATAAAACTAAAAAATTAAAGAAGAGCCCTAAGACTTACGAAGTCACTGAAGAAGAACACACCGATAAAGAAGCACCTGAAGTCGAAGAAGAAGTCTTAAAACAACCAGATGAATTAGCTCCAGAGGAGATAACAGATTTCCCTGATTATACCTTTAATGTTAAAGAAGACATTGTTGCCGAAAAGCAGGAAAAACCAAAGGGTAAAAAAATACCAAAACATAAGCATGAAAGCCAACCTAGCTTGAAGGAAAGTCAAGACTATCTCGTTACTGTAAAATCCGAAGAAGGAGAAGAAGATGAGCTTATCCCTGAACATGAAGCAGTTGTGGTTGAAGAAAATGAAGCTAAGCCAGAAGAAGAACCGCATTTGCAGATAGAAGAAACCGAACCCGAATCTTTGGAAAAGGATGTAATTAACGAAAAGGGTGAAACGGAAAAACAAACTGTTACCAAACGAAAAATCAAGAAACGGGTTGGTCCCAAGGAAGAAATTATCGAAATTGTGGAAACTCAGACTGGAGATACTCCTGAGTATGAAGTCATTGTAACCACTGAAGAGGCCGAACCGGTTAGCAAAGAAGTTTCTCAGGAGGAAAAACCAAAGAAGATACGTAAAACCAAAAAGGTCCCTAAAGACGATCTTCATGATTATATTCAGAAGCTTATTGAGCAAGATATACCAAAAACCGAACTTGAAAAGTATGAGAAGATCGACTTGGACGAGCCAGTTAAATTGAAAAAGAAGCCTATCAAAAAGATAAAACTTATTGAAGAACAGCCAACAGAACATACAGAAGTGCCGCTGGAGAAACAACCTGTACCAGAAAGTCCAGAAAGTTTTGAAGATGACAATGACCAGCCTAAACTAACTTTCACTGTTAAGGAATTTATTCCAGATAAGCCCTCAGAAAAGCCTTTTGAAGTAGTTGTTCTTGAAGAGAAAGTAGAAACCAAGCTAGTGCCAGATGAAGAGGGAATAGTAAAAGAAAAGGTGGTTAAAACCAAAAAGATAAAGCAAAAAACGGGACCTGGGGAAATAGTTCACGAAGTGGTTGAGGTTACTGATAAGGATACAAACGAATCTGAAATAACGATTACAACCACTGCTCCAATCGAAAGCATTGATCAGGAGGAGCCTTTAGTCAAACAAAAACGTACTAAAAAAATAAAGAAGGATGAGGTTGAAGATTTTATAAAAGCAGTTATTGAAGAAGAGGCTCCAAAGCCTGTTGAGCCCGAGGATACGGTTGTCGTCGACGAGGATTCTGTTTCAAAACTGCCTTCCAAGAAGACGAAAAAGAAGCCGTTGAAGGAAGACAAACTTCCCGTTGACCAACAAGTACCAGAAGACTATGAAATTTCCGTAGAAGATACTATTCCAGATGATTCTGCAGATACCGAAAATCTTATAACAGTACAGGAATCAATTCCAAGCGTTGAAGAACCTAAGACTATAATCAATCAGGTTAAGAAGACTAAAAAACCAGAAACTAATAAAGAACCAAAGATTGAAGATTTAGTTCAAAAAGAAGAACAAGGTCAAGAAAAGGATGAAACGCCGTTGGAAGTCACGCAAAAGGAATCTGATATAAAAACACCTGATGCTCAGGAAGTTAATGTATCTATCAAAGAGGAAGAGACAATACCTGAGATACCTTCTGAAGAAAACTTCAAAATATCTATTAAGGAAAGTGTTGTGGCACCTAAAGAAGAAAAACCGTTTACAATTCAAGTTGTTGAAAGTGTAACTAAGGTCGAAGAAGCCACAGATGATACTGGGGAAATTCATACAAAGGTAACTACTAAACGCAAGTTGAAACGACCTGACGGAGAAGGTGACATAGAGATTATTGAAGTTGTAAGGGATGATCAGCCTGAGGCGGAAATAACTGTTTTAGAGTATGAGCCACAACCTGTAAGCCAAGACGAAAAGCCGAAGGAACCCAAAAAGAAAACTAAGAAGGTGAAAAAAGATGACATACATGATTACATACAAAAACTAATTGACATGGAAACGCCCAAGACTGAGCTTGAAAAGTATGAAAAAATCGAATTTGAACCAACGGTTAAAGAAACTCCTTTAGATAACCTGGTTGATGTAGTGGACAAGTCGCCTTCCGAAAAGGTCAAAAAAGACAAAAAGGTGAAACCCAAAGAAGTCCTAAAAGAGAAAAGCCTTGTTCCAGCTGAAGTTACAAGCGTTAATGTGGTCGAAGAAGATGCCCCTGAACAGGATCAAACGCCTGTAGAAGTTTTAGAAGTTCAACCTCCAGAGGTGGAAGTAGTACAGATTATAACTGAAGAAGGCAAGCCTGTACAGGAAAAGACAACAAAACGAGTTTTAAAGAAAAAGGGACCTCATGATGAAAAAACTTTCAAGATAACAACTATAGAAAGCGAGGAAAACGATTCAGTTACGGTTATAGTTGATGAGGAACCTGACACTACTCCCGTACAGTCAATTGAAACACAACCTGAACAACCTGAACAGCCTGAAGTGAAACGAAAGCCCAAGCCCAAGAAAACGGTTAAGAATGTTAAAAAAGATGACTTAGACGACTTTGTGAAAAAACTAATTGAAGAAGAAATTCCAAAAGTCGAGCTCGAGAAGTACGAAAAAATAGAAATGCCAGAGAAAGCTGACAAGCCAGCTCCTTCCAAAAATATTCCGGAAGAGGTAAGCTCCGAAGTAACTGAACCAACCACAACAACCGATGACCTTAGCAAACCCAAGAAAACAAAGATTTCTAGGCCAAAGACGGTAGCCCAAGACGAACAAGTACCCGACATACCGACAGAAACGACTTCAGACATTACTGACACTGCAGAGATCACACCAACCCAAATTGCACTACCCGAGGACACAGCCACTGCACAAATTACACCAAGCGCACAAGAAGAGCAAACTACTCAAGATGACACTAAAGATATAATTCAGAAAACAGTTAAACATAAGAAAACAAAACCAGACACACAATTAAGCGTAAAAACAAGTAAGTTATTAGACGAGAATTTTTGGAGCCTACAAAATCCCGCCGTCCTTGCAGCACTTTTTGCTCCTTTGTGTGTGTCTTTCGCATTTGTTTATTCCCTTTGAAACCAAGGTTTCAAATTGTTGCGTACTTTCCCACCTATGTTTCTCTTCTTTCCTCTCGCTGTTGAATTTCGGCTCACTTATTTTGAGTCAGTTTTATTGCGGTCTTAATCTCTTTCAGTTCAACTTAAAAGCCTTCCAACACAGTAACTCCAATATAATATCATGTGCATGAATAACGTTTTTAAAAATTAAGTAGATTAGTAATTGGTAACCTTGACTAATAAATCGTTACGTAAGCTTTTGTTCACCTAAACATTTCTTCATGTTTCATAACTAAGCCAGATACCTGAACACCCATTAAAATAATAATATTCTTATTGCGTTCATTTAAAACAATTTAGCTTAATTTCTTTATTTTTGTTCACTTTTTACATGTTTCCTTCAATGCCGTCTTTGTAAATAAAGGCCAAAATTATGTCTTCTGTCCATTTTACCGATAAGCTTGCTTTTGCAAAGCAATGCACGGTTCCTTGGGTTAATCTCCTATAATAAGCACCAAATATTAAACCTCTAACGCATTTTTTGTAACAGGTGAGATACCAGAGGTACAAAAAGACTATCAAATAAGCATCATTCACGAAGAGCCTGTCGAAGAAGATCAACCTCAACCAATTTTGGAGGTCCGAGTCATTGATGAAGTCCCCGAGGTCGAGGAATCGCAGCCTATTGTGGAAGAGGTTGAAGAGGAAGAGGATCTGCCTATTGTAGAAGAAACAACCGAGGACGTCACAAAGCCCAAGATAAAGAAGAAGAAAATTGTCAAGAAAAAGACTGACGACCATGATGAACTCATTAGAAAGTTGTTGGAGCAGGAAATTGAGAAGACGGAACTGGAGAAGTACGAGAAAATTGATTTCGATATCCCGAAAAAACTCAAGCCCGAGTTCGCCACTCTTGAACCGATTAAAATCGAACGCAAAGAACAGAAGCCGACAAAGGTAACAATTGTCGAGGCTACAGATGTTCCGAAAACAGTAAAACTTAAACCCGGCAAACGTAAGGAGAAACCCGCTGAAGAACAAAATGTTCAACTTCCAAAGTTCAGACTTAAGGCCCGTATGGTATTAGTTGAATACCCTCCGGCTCCGCTTATTCCAAAAATCACTAATATTGGAGCCGTCAAAGACAACGGAGAACTATCTCGCAACATTGAAGAGGCGGAAGAAGTCCTGAAGTTCAAGCCACATAAGACCAAGAAAATCAAGAAAATAAAGGATGATTTGGAAAAGGTGGAACTCGAAAAGTACGAGAAATACGTCAGCAGCGATGAAGAACCTGAGGAAAAAGCACCGTATAAGAAACCGGAGAAGGAACCTAAGCCGAAGGAAAAAGAAGACGAAGTGAAGCTTAAACTTGGCAAGGGTAAGAAGAAGCCAAAGGAGGAAGACGAAGGCGAAAATGTTACTCTCAAAAAGATTCCACAAAAACCACAAGAGGTTGAGGAAGTACTTGAAGTAAAGCCGACACCAAAGAAGGAAGTTGTTGTTGAGGAACAACCAAAGGCGCCTAAGGAAGGAGAGTTTATTGTTGAGCCTTTTGAACCAACTGACCTGGATAGACCAGAATATGTTCCCGAAGAACTTGAACCATTCGAGCACCCAGAGAAGCAGGATAAGCCCAAGAAACCCTCTAAGACCAAGTACAAGCCTAAAGATAAGGTTAAGCCCGAGCCAGAAACAGTTATCTCAGAAATTGTTCCTGGAGTGCCAAAGGATGAAGAGGAAATTCCCGAACAAGAAATAAAGTTCCGTAAGCCCGAGGCAGAAGCTCCAGAAGAAACTGACTCAGAAATAAAGCTTCGTCCTGTGCCAAAGTTATCTAAGCCTGAGGAACCAGTTGAACAAGCGGTGGTTAAACCTAAGGAAGAGGAGCCTCAGCGCGAGGAAAGTCCAGTAAAGCTTGACGATGACGAAAAGAAAACGAAAAAACCAAAGGTAAAGAAGGTGCAGCAAAAGGAAGAAAAAATACCTGATGAGAAGCCAGTAGAGTATGAGGCATCGATAATAGAAGAAGCCCCAGTGGAAGTACCCATCGAAAAGCCCGAAGAGCCAAAAGAAGTAAAGATAAAGCAAAAGAAGCCCAAGGAAACTCCTGTATCCCAAGTCGTAGTCTCTGAGGAAATACCGCAACCTGAAGAAGTTCCTGAGGAAATACCAGTTGAGTACAAAATAACAACAACGGTCTTGGAGCCAGAGGAGGCACCAAAGGAACATCAAGTCAGAGTAATTGATTTTGACGAGCGTCAAGAAACTTCCGAGGAAGTTATTGAAGAAAAGGTGGTAACGCGGAAGAAGAAACCAAAACCACAGATACCGGAAGAATTTGAGGTCACATTAAAAGAGCCAAAAATTGAAGAAACAGAACCTGTGGAAGTTTCGGCTGAAATCTTGCAACCAGTTGAAAAGGCCGAACAAAAGCCAGAAGAGTTTGAGATTGAACTTAAACTTACGGAGCCTATTTCAGAAGAGCCGGTTGAACAAGAAATCAAAGTTAAGAAGACCAAAAAGAAACCTGTGGAAGAGGTGAAGGAGGATAAGATCTTAGTAGTGGAAAAAGAAACTGAGGAGCAACCAGTTGAGGAAAAAATCGAGGAGGTCGAGAAACAGGAAGAAAAGAAGAAGAGCAAAAAGCCAAAGTCATATGAGTTTAGGATTACAGAAACCGATGCTATTGAAGAGCAGCCAGCCGCAGTTGTTGAGGAAATTTCTGAGAAATTACCAGAGCCCAAAGAAGAAATAGTCGTCGAAAAGTTTGACACTTATGAAATAAGCCTGAAGGAATCTGAAGCAGAAAAGGTGATCGCTGTTGAAGAGCAACCCCAGGAAGAAACACCACAAGAAGTTGTTCTCAAGAAAAAACCAAAGGAACCTGAGGAAGTTGAAGCCGAGTTTGTATTAACAGAACCAAAGATTACCGAGGAAACCACTGTTGAAACTGCTATCAAGCAGAAGAAAACTAAAAAGCCAAAGAAGACAGAGGAAGAAGCTCAATTGGAAATTAAGGTTGTGGAGACCGAAGCAGCTGTTCCTGAGGATGTGGTTGTTGAAGCTCCCAAGCCTGTGATCGTAGAGAAGAAGGAAGAGCTTGTCGAAGAAAAGCCCAAAGAGTTTACAATTCATGTATCTGAAACTGAGGCCAAGCCTGAAGAACCAAGTGAGGCACAGTTTACGGTGAAAAAACGCAAGCCTTCTGTAACTTTCGCCGACGAACCAGCTACTGAAATCATTCTTAAGGAGAGTAAGCCCGCTGAAGAATTTACCGAGGAGGCTCAAATCAAGACAAAGAAGCCGAAAAAGAAGGTGAAGGATGTAGAGGCCGAAGAACTTAAGATTACTATTACTGAGGAGATTCCTCAGGAAGTTCCAATAGTTGAAGAAGTTGAGGAAGAAGAGCTGATTACAGTAGTCAAGGAAGAAGTCCCAGCGGTTGAAGAAAAAACTTATAAAATTGGCATTAAGGAGACACAGCCAGAAAAACCTGCAGAGGTGATTGCTGAGGATGAGCCGGTGGTTACTGAGCCAATTGTGGAAGAACCGGAACCAGAAACCTTTGAAGAACACAAAGTTAGAGTTGTTGAGGAAACACCCCGCGAATTTGTCGAGGAAGTCATCGAAGAAGAAGTTAAGGTTATTCGTAAGAAGAAGCCTAAGCCAGAAGTCAGGGAGGAGCCAGAGGCACAAATAACGGTTTCAGCTCCAAAGCCTGTCGATGAAGTAGAAGCTACAACTAGCATTGCTGTTGTTCCAGAACAACCAATCGAAGAGGAGGCCGCTGATCTCAAGATAACAATAATCGAAGAAGAAGCAGCACCACAGGAACTTGTTCAAGAAATTGAAGAAATTGAAATTGTCGAGGAACCAGAAGCGCCAGCAGAAAAACCAAAGGACTTCAAATTTGTTCTTAAGGAGGCTGAAAAGGAACCTACTGTGGAAGAGTTGCCCGAGGAGCAGGTCACAATCCAGAAGAAGAAGAAAAAGGTGACAGTTGCCGATGAGGTCGAAGAACCAGAAGCTGAATTTTCGATTAAGCCGAAACAGCCAGTACAGGAAGTTTCCGAAGAAGCCAAGATAAAGAAAAAATCTAAAAAGCCTGTTAAGGAAGAAGAGGCAGCTGCCGAGCTTAAGGTAACCGTTACTGCAGAAGTTATTGAAGAGCCAGAGGTTCAAGAAATCGTTGAAGAAATTGTTGAGGTTCCGGAAGAAATTCCAACTGATTATACAATAGAAGTCAAGGAAACTGAGCCAGAAGCTCCAGAGGAAGAACAAGTCAGCTTACCGCAGAAGAAGCCAAAAGCTGATCCGGTGGTTGAGGAGCCAGAGGCTGAAGTTACTCTTAGACCAAAGCCAAAGGTGGAAGAAGTTGAAGAAAAGGCAAAAATAGTCAAGAAAAAGCCAAAGAAGCCTGTCGAAGAACAAGCTGCTGAGGAGCTTACGGTCAAGGTTGAGCAAGAAGTTGTCCCAGAGCCAATAGTGGAGCAAGAAGTCGTAGAAGAAGTCGTGATTAAAAAGAAGACTGAAAAGCCTGAGCCAGAGGATATTGTCGATGCTACTGTTGTGAAGCTAAAGAAACCAGAGCCGGTTGAGGCAGAAGATGTAGTGGCCGAAGTCACACTGAAGCCTAAAGCTCCCAAGGAGGTTGTCGAAGAGGAATTCTCTGTTGATGTTAAGTTGCCAAAGGAGAAGTCAATTACCGAGGAAACCTCTGATCAAACTGTACAGCTCAAGAAAAAGAAGAAGCCGCAAAAACCGGTAGAGGAAGCTGCAGACGAGCTTAAGCTACAGCAGACTGTTATCGAAGAAAGGCCCATTGAAATAGAAGAGGAGGAGATAGTTGAAGAAGCAGTCGTAATTCGCAAGAAACCCAAGAAACCCTTCGAACCGACTGTTGAAGATCTCGAAGAAACTGAGTTCAGTCTCTCCTTCAAAAAGCCTCACACTATTAACGAGGGTGTGGAGGAGGCCGCCACCGTGCTGAAAAAGCGACCAGTTAGGCCCACTACTCTGGACGAAGCTGCGGCTGAGCTTTCCATCAAGCGTCAAGAAGAAGAATATGAAGAGGGCGAAGATATCGAAGAGTTTGTCGTTAGCAAGGGACCTAAGCCAAAGCCTCTTCAGATTACAGAAGAAGATGAGGAGGCATACACAGTCAAGAAACTTAAACGACGAAAGCAGGTTGACATTCCCGAATACGCTGATGTTGAAAACGTGACATTCCGTGCGAGAAGTACCAAAACCAAGGAAGATGTCGATCAGGAGTTTAACATTGCGCTCGACTCGTATGCGGAGGAAGAAATTTCGATGTCTGGAAAGGTTAAGCTTAAGAAGCCTATCAAGAAGACTTTCTCCGAAGCAGCTGATGAGGCCAAGATCAAGATCATTCAGGACTTTGATGATGGTGAAGAGCCAATCATTGAGGAAATCCGAGACGATGAGGACACTATCGATGAAGTTGAGGAACCAGAAGAATACTTTGTTGAAGAATTGCCACCAGATGAAGTAGACTTTAAGCTGAAGCCCAAGAAACAGGCGAAGCCAGCCTACTCCATTCAAGATGAGGAGGAAGAACAGTTCCTGATTGGCATTCGACATCCGAAACGCGATTCGGTAACCTACGACGAGGATTCTCTAACATTTAAAAAGAAACGTAAAGTTGTTCAACAACTTTTTAACGAAGGTAAGTCGGTTGTCACCAATATTACTAGTTTAAACAAATTTCAAAATGCTTTACTTTTGCATATAAAAATATCAGCTTATATGATATCAGAGTGGCAAGGTAAACTTACCCAACTTAAATGTCGGTATCTAACGCCTAACCATTCATTGTTTACAACTTAAAAACAATAAAAAAATTTTAAGGCAAAATGCTAACATTGATCTATATTTGCACAGATGGAGCTTCGCTGAATATAACCAAGGAAATAAATGTTGAAGGTATGTACACGCTGTGTTAGAACAATAATAGAACAAAATAACATATTTCATAAAAACTTTTAGAATCCGATAATCCCAATGTTATGTATTCCATCTGCAATTATATTGCTGACAACGATGAAGCCATAAACCTGGTCGAGGGTGAGAAAGTTACGGTCGTTGGCCGTCATAGCTCTGAATGGTGGTATGTTAAGAAGAGCATTACTGAAGAGGAAGGCTGGGTTCCAGCTCAATATCTGATGGAGCCTGAGGAATATGCGCAGTATGTGCAAAACAAACTGCATGAGAAAATCGACAAATTGCCAGTGTTTGAACGTAAGTATTATTAAAAAAAATGGGTATTTGTCAAGCTTAACATTGTCTTGTGCCTGTCCACGTTCGGTCATTAACAAAAATATTTACTGTTCTGTTTGTGGTTGTAAACTGTTAAGGTCCTGGACCGGAAGACAAGCCCATTGCTCCAAGGTTTATCGAGAAACTGCAGCCCATTCATACACCAGACGGGTACACAGTACAGTTCGAATGCAAGGTCGAAGGCAATCCAAGACCTCAAATTGCCTGGTTCCGCGAAACTGCCATTATCAAACCTTCACAAGACTTCCAAATGTTCTACGATGATGACAATGTGGCAACTTTGATTATTCGCGAGGTGTTCCCTGAAGATGCCGGCCAGTTTACAGTTGTTGCCAAGAACGCAGCGGGATTCACGTCCAGCACAACCGAGCTGATTGTGGAGAGTCCACTATCCGATCACGGATCTGATGCCACAGCCCTTTCACGTCGCAGCATGTCCCGGGAATCTTCCCTTGCTGACATTTTGGAGGGTATTCCACCAACCTTCTCAAAGAAACCAAAGGCTCAGTACGTAGACGAAAATACGAATGTAATTCTTGAATGCCGACTGGTGGCCGTACCAGAACCGGACATTGTCTGGACATTTAATGGCGAGGACATCGACGAGGAGGAAATCAAAAACGTTCGCATCGTTACCGAATCGGACATGCACATGTACTGCAGTGTTGTGCACATCACCAAGGTAAAGAAATCGCAAGAAGGAACCTACGAAGTTATTGCGACCAATCGCGAGGGCGAGGCACGTTTGCCTATTACTCTTAAGGTGCGAACCACCGATAAGGAGGCCCCGCAAATCTTGGAACCCTTGCGCAACATGGTCATACGTGAAGGCGAAAGTGTGGTTCTCTCTACCCAGATTGTGGGCAATCCACCACCAAAGGTTACCTGGTACAAGGACGGCAAGCCCGTCAAGAATGCCAAGTCTGATAAGGACTTGCATACCTTAACACTTATCACACCCAAAAAGTCTGAGAAGGGCGAGTACACGGTTAAGGCTGTTAATCCCTTGGGCAGCGTTGAGACTACTGCAAATCTAACAATTGAAGGTAGGTTCTTTGTTTCATGTTAATTTCCGTAACAATTTAAGTTAATCCAATTGCTAATTTGTGGACTTTCTGTATCTAGAACCTACTAGCGGAAACGCGGAGCCACCACTTTTCGTAGAGCGTTTCGAGGAGCAGAACGTGCCGCAGAAGGGCGAGATTCACTTGCCTGCCAAGGTCTCCGGAAATCCGGTTCCCGAGGTGCAGTGGCTGTTCAATAACACTCCACTGTTCCCCAGCGAGCGCATTCAGCAGGTCTACGATGGCGAGAACATTGAACTTGTCATCAAGGATGCCAACCCAGAAACCGATTCGGGTGACTACAAGTGCATTGCCAGCAACCCCATTGGCAAAACGTCGCATGGTGCTCGTGTAATTGTCGAGGTCGATGAAGTGACCTTCACTAAGAAACTTAAGAAGACCATCACCATTGAGGAAGTACAATCCCTCACCCTAGAGTGTGAGACCTCTCACGTAGTAACCACCAAATGGTTCTTCAACGGAAAAGAACTCAGTGGCATGGATCACCGCGTTGTCGTGGAAGATGGTAAGACACATAAATTGGTGATCCGGAATACAAACCTTCGCGATTCTGGTACCTATATGTGCAAAGTCAAAAAGCAAGAGACTCAGTCTACTGTGGAGGTTCTGAAGCGTAAGCCCGACTTTATCAAGATCCTGGAAGACTACGAGGTAACCGAAAAGGATACCGCCATTCTGGATGTGGAACTCACTACCGAGTCGACTGAAGTGACTTGGTACAAGGACGGCGAAAAGATTACCCCCGAAAACAAGAATGTCGAGTTCATCAAGGATGGCAAGGCACGTCGCTTGGTTATCCGCGATACCACAATCCACGATGAAGGCCAGTACACTTGCAAGATTGAGGGACAGGAGTGCAGTTGTGAGCTGGTTGTAATTGAGTTGCCGCCAGAGATTATTGAGCCATTGAAGGACGTTTCTGTGACCAAGGGCGAGAATGCCATTTTCAAGGTTGAGCTCAGCAAGGGTGACGCCCTTGTTAAATGGTTCAAGAACGGCAAAGAGATTGTATTCAATGATCGCATTCAGCTAGCCATCGATGGCAAGAGGCAATCGCTACGCATTGTCAAGGCCAAGCCCGAAGATAAGGGCGAATACTCCGTCCAGGTGGGTGAGCAGACCTCAAAGGGTACGCTTACGGTTGAGGAGCCACTTGTGGACTTTGTCATCCGCCTGCCAGATGTAACTCTAGCCACCAAGACCACGGATGCCGAATTTACGGTGCAGCTGTCGCAACCCGATGTCGAGGTGACTTGGTGCAAGAAGGGCAAACCCATCAAGCCCGACAATAAGCACGAGGTCTTTGTCGAGGGAACTGTCAGACGTCTGGTTATCCACGATGCCAGTGATGACGATGCCGGTGAGATCAGCTGCGTAGCCGAGAACGTTACGAGCAGCTCCAAACTGTGCGTGGAGGAGCTCAAACTGCCACCCGTCATAACCTCTGACAAGGATCAGACCATCAAGGCTAAGGAGAACGACGATGTCACCTTCACTGTCAAGTACACAGGCGTACCAACGCCCGAGGCCGTTTGGACCACGCGTAAGGTTGTCATACCCAAGTCAAAGCGGACAATCCCGGCCATCGATGAGCAGTCAGCCACGCTAACCATCAAAAAGGTTGTCGACGAAGATGAGGGAGAGTACACCGTTAAGCTCGTCAACCCGGTGGGCGAAGCAGAGGCCAGCCTACACTTGGTCATTATGCGTAAGTACCCCAGCTTATATGCAAGTTAATTGGTGCGGAACTTTAGACCCTAATCAAATATATAGGCAAGCCAACGGCACCTGGCACTCCCCAACCCCTGGAAATAATGCACGACTCTATTACGCTCTACTGGAAGGCGCCAGAGGACGATGGCAAGTCAGAAATTATCGAGTACATTCTGGAGTATCACGATGTTAAGGAAGAAAAGTGAGTATAATATAAATATAGCAAGGTTTTTACCAAAATTTTTCATTAATGGTGCTTTAAATAAGATTTCTTTAATTGTAGTGTGCTAAAAATAGTATCAATTTATTTCCATCTCAAAGGAAACCTTTTCTATAAAAAATAATTTATACTCGCAGGTGGACTGAAATAAGAAAGATCAAGGACACTACGTACACCATTAGCAAGCTGAAGATCGACACTGAATACGTGTTCCGTTCAATCGCTGTAAACGAAGTGGGACCCTCACCGCCCTCGCCGCTATCGCCACCTATCCGCCTAGTGCCGAAGATAGAGACAGAGGCTCCCAGCGTACGAGAGCCACTACAGGATGTGGTGAGCGAACTAGACAAAGAGGTGACGCTGTCCTGCGTGTTCGGTGGCATTCCAGAGCCAAAGGTGACGTGGAAAAAGAATGGCAAGGTTTTCGAGTCGAGTGGAATTCGCTACGAGAACCGTGTGGCCAAATACATAATTGAAAAGACAACCATTGAGACTGAAGCCACCTACACATGCGTGGCGACCAATGAGAAGGGCTCTGTGGAGACCTCGTGCCACCTGAAACTGCAGCAGAAACCAGTCCTCGAGGTAGAGGACAAGTATTTGACACAGAAACTGCGCACGGGCAGCACTCTCACCATTCCAGCGACGGTCCGCGGCTATCCACAACCAACTGTGACCTGGCACAAGGAGACTGTTGAACAGAAGACCACCAAGACGGTAACCATTGAAACCACAGAGTACACTTCCACCTATACGGTCAAGAAGGTCACCCGCGAGCAATCTGGCAAATACAAGGTGACGGCCACTAACGAATCCGGCTCTACCTACGTAGAGTGCACGGTCCAAGTGATAGACAAACCCAGCAGACCCCAGTCCCTGGAAATTAAGGACATAAAGAAAGACTCGATTACCTTGGAGTGGACACCACCCATTGATGACGGTGGTCTGGAGATCAACAAGTATACCTTGGAGAAATGTGACGTCCAAAACAATGTTTGGATGAAGGTCTCCGACTTTGACAAAGACATAAAGTCGTACTCCGTTCAAAAACTATCCATGAATTCTCAATACATGTTCCGTGTTGTGGCCGCCAATCCTATTGGCGAGTCCGAGCCAACGGAAAGTGACCCTGTGACTATAACTAAGAAATTCGGTAGGTTTCACAATTAAAAATGAATCAAGACAAGGTCTTTAACTAATTATAAATTAAACACCAATGAATTAACAGAAAAACCATCGCCACCTCGGGGCCCGACCACTGTTTCGGGCATGAACGACACTTCCTTCAATTTGGCCTGGGAGCCTTCAGAGAATGACGGCGGCTCTAAAATCTTAGAGTACATTGTGGAGATCAGGGAAGAGACTGAAACAACCTATCGATCGGTGGGCGAAACCCTTGGCACGGTCACCAATATCCATGTCGAGAAGGTTGTCCGAAACAAGGGCTATTTGTTCCGCATCTTTGCAAGAAATCAGGTTGGCACCAGCGAGGCGTTCGAGACCACGGAGAAGGTTGTCGTGGGCCGCAAGATAAGTAAGTTTTCAAGCAGTTTTTATTTTATAAATGCTTATTGCTTCTGCGAATTGCTTTTTATAAAACGCTACTAATGCTTAAACATGCGCAATTCTAACCCCCAAATGACAACAGCTAATGATAATGATGACCAAGGTACGTAAGGCGTAAAAAGCAAACAAAGTTTAAAAAGTTGTGAGTACACGGGTGCTAATTGATTTTTGTTTGTTCAACACCAGCGCCGCCATCGCCACCTCAGAACCTGAGGGCGCCGGATGTTACCAGTCGAAGTGTCACTTTGGATTGGGAGGTGCCGGCCCGCAATGGTGGATCAGAAATTACAGGTAAAATGCAACAGACTTATAGTATAAATTAAAGGACTTCACCTGACTTCTTATTCCCAAACAGGCTACTGCGTGGAGAAACGTTCCTCAACATCTACCAGCTGGACAAAGGTCATTACACTGGACGCTCACCAGCTGCACTACACGATTGACAACCTAAAGGAGAAGTGTGGGTACTGGTTCCGTGTTTCTGCGGAAAACGAGGTTGGATTAGGTGCACCAGCCGTCACCGAGAGCATATCGCTTAAAACACATGCCAGTGAGTTTGCAATGGGAATCATTTTAGATAGACCCCTAGATGACTTTGCTGTTTTTATAGCCGTACCCTCACCACCGACCGGACCACTGGAGGCGCGCGTTCTCGCCGCCAATGCCCACATATTCGAATGGGGTATACCCGAGTCAGATGGAGGTGCGCCTCTGCTCGGCTACCACATTGCTATAAGGGACATGAAGAAGACCATGTGGATCGAGGTGGGTCGTGTGCCAGCTGGCGTCCAGAAATTCCAGATCAGAGATCTGCAGGAGAACCACGAGTACATGATTCGCATATTTGCGAAGAACGAAATTGGTCTAAGTGAACCTCTGGAATCGGAGGAGCCCTACAAGGCTATGACTGCTGGTAAGTATCATTCCGTTTGGTGTTTGCAAAAACGAAGAATAACTGCTAATTGGCAATATTTATCATCATTTTATCTTCATTCAAACCAGGTCATGAGAGCCTGCCGGACGAGCCGCGCACGGAGATGAGTTCGTGCAACACATCCTCCTGGCTGCGAGACCACAACATGGATGCGGATATCCATTCGTATGCTCGCGGCAGGCTGCTTCAACGCGATGAGTACTTCTTCCGGCTCTGGGCGGATTTGCCCAAGAGCAAAAAGAAGAAGGGCTCCAAATAGTCGGTAGAAACGACAACGAAATAAGAAACACTTTAGTCGTAGGTTAAGCATATTTCAATTGTATATTATGTAACAAGCAATGGGTTAACCCCTTTGATTTTCTAGCTTTTTGTACTTTACTAGAGATGACGATGTAAGGTTGGTGTAATGTAAGTCGCATCCCATTGTTAGCGATGTCCACGTCCCCCGATCAAAGAGTGCGAGCGAAGAATAAACTTAATGCTCGGGTGCGTGGACGTGGCTCAATGCTCTGGATGGCCATTACACCATCCAGTTAATGGACATAATTTTAGATTTTTCATTTGCATAGAGTTCTTTTTGGTTTTATTGTTTTACTTTCGCCTTATTTTTGTAAGCTGTGATAAATCTATCAAAATCGAAAGCGTCAAACGAAGCAACAAAAAATGAAACAGAATAAAAATGCCGCCAGGCGGCGATCCATCGGCATCGGGCAACGAGAGCCAACGAGCCGCAGCCCTCCAACATCCAATTCCATCCCAATCCCAGCCAGCGTAACTCAATATCCTCTCGGGAGACAAAACAACAAATGGTGCAATTCGATATGAGTTATTTCTGGGGAGTGTTGCGAGTCGCTGGCTGCCGTTGCCTTTGTCCTGGCTTCGCCCTGGTTGAAATTTATGGCATAGGAATATGAGAGAGGTTATACTCGTATGTCTTTAAAGTTACCAAAACTAAATAAACATATAAAACAAAATGTAACAATGAATTTTTACTGAGCTACAGCCTGCAGGGATTTTGGAGTGGCGACTGGGGGTCAGTTGGACTTATGTTTTTGTTTATGTTAGTAATGAATTAAATTTTAGACACAATTTGACAGAAATCAACTGACAACTGTTTTATCAACTCTGACCTCTACGCTTACACAATGCTAACAGTTATTAAAGCCATATAAAATCTATGAAGCGATGAATTTTTTAATGAATTACAGCTTCAAGTGGGAAAGCTCTTTGGGTTCGCCCAAAATCCCCTAATTAATTCATTAGATTTCGCCTCCCTAACACTTTACAACTTTCGGGAAAAAGTTTTTTTCATTAAAGTTTTTGCGAATTGTGAAACTTTAAGACCAAATCTGCTGCGAAGAACAAATGCTGAACTGCTCCGGTCCACATGCGTGAGTCCAGACGGCGGAAACCTATCCGGTGACATTGGGAAATGCTGCATAAACTTTCCAGCAGAGAATTGTGTGCGAATTTAATTAAAGTTTTTGCGGTTGCCACTAATCAAAAGATATTATCTCTTTGGCTGCTGTAACTCTCTATGTGGCTAGACGCCGTAATTTGAGCCAACTTTTTTTGCCGCAAATGTCTGTGGTTAGGCTGTTAGAAATGCAAAAACTCATAAAGCTAAAGCATATTTCCGGCACTTTAAATTGCAGAAACAAACAAAGCAGACAAACACATACTCGTATATAGGGTGAGCCTTCTTAGCCTGTTATTCAGTTATTGATACACTAAACGATCTAAAAAGGAGAGAAGGAATAGCTTAAAACGGAAATTTCATTTACTTGTTTGCTTTTTTGTTGAGCTTTCCTTCCTACACTCAATTTTGCCGTCGTTGTTATTGTGCAAAATTGAAAGCTGCTAAGCTGCTTTCGTCGCTTTAAAGGCGTCTTCTTCAAGTATTTTTCTACATTTTCAGCACAGAAGTATACACTTCTGGTTGCGCGACCCCATTAGTTATGGTTTATTAAGGTGAAGACGAGTTGGAAAGCTCTCTGCCGTAGTAATACAATTGTAAACTTGTAATAGAATTTGGCAAGTTTTGTTGAATGCATATAAAACCAAATTACACATCAACTTTATGGTGTGCACGTAGAAAATTGAGGCCCATTCTGGTTTTTCTTTTTGTGTTTTTCCCCCATGTTTTTCTTCGTTTTCTGCTTGGCCATGTCAAGGCTCGTCAAACGTGACGGCCTGGGAGTATAGGAATAAAAACAAAATCTGAAGATGTAGGAAAAGCCTGTAGAAAGTTTGCTTAATTACTTGCCAAACAATAAGAATGGATGCGGAAGAAAAACAAATTCGTTTGGTTTCTTAATAAATGTAATTGTCAATTTGTAAGTCTATGGCACCCTGAAGGAATTTAAAAAATAAGACTCCTCGAAAATACTGTCAATAAAACATGAAGACAAACATACAAAATACACTTTGTAAAACAGTTCGTAAAGAAAATTGTATAAAAAAAAAATTTGTAATCATTTTTCAAACCTTTTTCTTACTTGTATAATAATTAAAGAAAGCACCGAAAATAGATCGCAAAATTTGTGGTAAAACTAATTGAGCACCATGGGAGCCGCGAATATAAAACCCTATTCTAAAACTGAGTCCCAAGCATTTGCAAAGTTTGTGAAGAATTACAAAAGAAATCATGTCCACCGGGACCAAGACGAGGTCATGAGATCGGCGGAAAATGCCTGGGGAAAGCTAACTCCCCATCAAAAAAAGCACTTTGAAGTGAGTCTTGGTGAAGTTTAATTTCTTAGGCAGGAATATAAATGCCCTTTGATTTTAGGTAAAACCTAGACAAATTTCTTTGAACAAAAAAGTGTCTGTCTCAAGACCGAAAAGGGCGAACAAGCAGAGGCAAGCTGTCTGCGGTATGCGTAAAAAAGGCAAGAAATTTGCCAATTCAACGCGATCTCGCTTAGGTCCTCAGATGAGCACTGGCTTTTTACGTTATTTGAAAGAATACCAGAAAAAGAACAAAAAGGTGGATCTTAAGAAAACGTTACAAAAGGGTGCAAGGGCATGGGCAAATCTCACAAAACGAGAGCAAGCAAAGTTTCGAAAAGTGGTAATTTTGCTTTAATTTTATTTATACATATCCTTATTAATTTTTTTCTACTTGAAAGGGTGCCAAATAAAAATCAAGGGCTTTTAATCCATGGCATTTAGTAAACCATTAAGTATGTTTCTAAAATTTTTGTAAAAACTGTCTTTTTATCCAAAATTTATGTCAAGTTAACCTTATAATTATTATAAACTTAATGTAACGTGAATACATGCGTCCAATAAAATAGATGCGCTATTAACCACGATATACTATCTTATTTCTTCTACAAAAAAAAAACCCTCGGACCAACCATAAAATGTTAATTGCAGTACATGTTTATTATGCCAGGGCAATAGCCCCCAATGAGTCGCTTGGCCAAACATTAGCCCTGTTAAAATATCTACACTCATTTACGATGCGCAACACGGTTCAGTTCAGTCCCCAAATAGCCAGGCCGAAGAAGCTGTATACATGTAATTGGCCTGGCAAAGGAGTTGCTGGCAATAAAGCCAGCAGGAGGCTGACTTCTACCATACATGCCACAAAATGCAGCGTCATAAAAGACATACGATAAAAAAACAGACAACTTCCGGTGCGGTTGTGCAGTAGCATCAACCGATTTCCGTAGAGTAAAGTGAGCAAATACTTAAGGCAAACATGCCATAAACGATAGAGAGTTACAGTGCCCAGTGGAATGCTGCTGAAGCTAAAGTTCCAAGTGGATCTTTTCGCCTATCAAGCATTCAGCTGGCGAGTTTTAATGATTTAAATACCAACACGATTTCAACTTTTTTGAGCATTTATTTGCGAACATTCGAAAGGAATCAATATGCCCGACTTTGCAACAGACTCCCAACAGAGCAGCATATTGCAAACATAAAATATTTATTGCCAGATTGCGAACGCATATCCCGCAGCACCAGTTGGTTTCATTCACCAGCACCTTCCTACACGGGAATAAATGTTTCTTAATAAACAGCATTCAAATAATATTTTTTAGAAAATATTAAGATAAGATTGGTCGTAAACAAGATCAACCTTTTTTTTATTGGGCCTGCTTCGGAATGTATTAGAAAGTTTATTTATTTTAATTTTTTTTTGTGCATCCGATTCGTCTTACAGGCAGATATGCAGCATAACTCTTCCTTCCCATTGAAAGCATTACATTGAGAACATCCGCAGCAAGCACATGACAATTTTTTCTTTTTGTCGTTTTTTGTACATCCATTTTCAACCTTGGTGGCCACACTTAGAGGCAATTCATAACACTTACCAGAAAACTAATTTAAAATTTAATAGAGACATTTCTGTACAAATGAACTGCACATTACATTGCACTCTTTTTCCTTGCTTGTCGCCCGCGCTGCCATTTAAAAATCAGGAGTGCTGAAAATTAAATTCCACAAACTGTTCATATGTAGCGGGCTGGAGCTGCTGCCTTGCAAAGACTTTTAGTGGCTTCCGACATGGCATTTGGGCAACCCAAAAACTAATGAAAGTTCCTTCCCCCTTAGCCCACATTCCCACCCCTATGCTTTCCACCCACATCTGATGACATCGTGTGCTAAGCGCACACAATCACCCAAAAGTCTTCATGACTTTTTGAAGGCGAAGTAATTAAAGTCAATTGCCATTCTGCCAAAATTCGTTCAACGTGGCGTATACGTAATGCGATTGGGGCATGGCACTTTAGCACTGTCAACAGCATTAGCTTCGTTAGCTTTTTAGCTATAGGTAAACACCACAAACTGTGTTATAATTTATTAGAAAACACTCTGTCAAAAATCAAGTCAAGGAAATCGCTGGAATCCTATTTCATACTTTCCCTCTGCGTTGAACGTTTTCGTTACCGACGCCAATCTCTGTAGGTGCTAAATAAAATAAAGTCGGTTATTTTATGACTTTCTAATGCCGTCGTAAAAGTTAAGTTTGTTGCCCAAACCGAAAAACGAAATACATTTGCATTTATCCGCACACAACTATATTTTTATACGCTGGAGTTTTGTTGATTAGCTCATTACAGAGCATTTGGGTATTTACGAGCATCATTTTTGTTGCTTAAAGATAATGTTTGGGCATACTTTAGAATATCAGCCATAAATACTGGAGAGGTATTAAAAATCCTATAATTTAGGGCTATTTTGTGGGCATGATAAGATGTTTTTGGATAGCTCGTAAACTACTTGCTAAAAAAACGAATTTCGTCATTACTACTCCAGAAACTTTTTTTGAAAATATGAAACATGAATAACATACATATGCTATTGATATTAAACAATCGTAAAACTAATAAAAATATTGTAAGAAATATGTTTACATAAAAGATATGTTCATTTGTATTGTTTTTAATTTTTCATATATCACGTAAAATCCCGAGAATGCAGTAAAATATTTTTCCAGCCGCATGAGTTTACCATGCAAACACCACAAACTTTCTGCATCAGCTGCCATTGATATATACTTTTTACCCCGACAATTTTTCCACGCTTTCAACTGTGCCATCAGTCGAATGTTCCGACCATGGTGACTTAATTTCACTGTAAGTTCCATTGGCCTTTGCATAAATGCATTTTGATGCAGTTGCCGTCACACGAGGGACGCTAAACAGATTTGCACCTTGCATATATAAAGTCAAATTTACAAGTTCGCTACGAAAATTGCAACGCAAAATATGCAAATGACAATGGGTGCCCTGTGAAAATGTTTCTGCTGCCGAATGAGGGTCACGGCAAGCCAGGAAAAATGTCTTAAATTTTGCACTTGGCCAGCCACCATCTGGCAGCCAGCAGCTGAAAATGAAGTTGTTTTCCAGAAGGGATGGCGCTGTGTTCAGTGGGCGGCTGGGCGACCTAATGTGGATACGTGTTGGGCATTGCCAAAGATAAGTAAACGGTTAAGATAGCTCTGCTTTCCAGCAGCACAAGTGCACTGCCAATGTTTCTGTTTACGTGCCCAGCTTAGCTGCTTAAAATGCACTCCTGGCACCGGCATTGGAAACGGCATACGCTGCGTATGCGTGTTGCCGTTCGTTCTGCGCCGATCGAATGTTCTAATGTTTTGCAGCACATTAAATTGCCAATATGGCTTTATTGTTCCCAGAACCCCTCCTCCGTCTCACTGCCAGTGGCTGCGATTTATGCTGTCACATTTAGTGGGTGACTTCGACGGGGGCAGGGCGAAGCAGCAAGTGTGGCGGCGCCTGTGGGGCCATAACAGCTCTACTAGCAGCCAAGCACATAGTAGCAATAGTGCTGCCAAGTTAGCGTTTTGCTGATTTGCAAAATATAAGAAAAATTATTTTGGGTAAGAAAACAACAATAAAATAAAATCAACTTGATTATGTAGTTATTTGGAAAATGCGAAAGATGCTTACAAAAAATATGCTTAAGCGTTCGTAATAAGGTATTATATTATTTGAGCAAACCTTAAGCAAAATCATTGCCATATTAATAGAGAAATCAGCTTTGCCTTTTTAAATTAGCCACCACTGGCTGTCGGAGCCACATAATCATTGGCAGTCACATCGGAGCGTGTAACTCGGTTGGAGTCGCTGCGTCTGCTCCAGGCTTCTATTGGCAAGACATAAAACGTGGCACTCGATGATGCCTATGGGCGACTTCGCACATCGCTTTGAAGCTATGTATATACGGGTATACCTATAGTGGTGCTAGGTTGCCTACGAGCATTGCCATTCTGGCCTAAACATCACTTCACAACTGCCAAGCCGAGCACATCCGGTTTCCGTTAGTTGTGCAAGCCCGCCCAGTGCCACGCCCCCTGACTGCAGCACCTGTCTGTCAGTCGGGCTGATGTTACTTCAGGTAATATCATTTAGCCTTGTCCTGGGCGCACACGAATATGTTGGAAAAATATTATCTCGTTACTGTGTTAAAAAGTGTAAGAGTGCAGGGTGGACCTTTTGCCCCAGCCACTTTTTTCCCTTTTTGCCATTTAAGGGGCACAACTAGTGTGACGGCCTAAAAAAATGGTGATGTTTGGGAATATTTATAAAAAAAACTACTTGATCAATTCTTTTCAAATTTTCAGAATATATTTATACATGTTTTAAGAATGTATAGTGAAATTTTTAAAGAAAAAAGTTAAATATTTTTTAAGTTATAGTCGATCTCCAACGGCGCTAAAAAAAAAAGTGCCTCAACTGCTGCAGTGATTCCGGCCCTCTCCGTGGACGAAATCGAAAAATGAAAAATTCTCGTGAAACTAGATAATATTTTTCATACCATGAACTACGATAAAAAAAAAAATATAAAAAAATGACAAAATGGCAGCGTTTTAAAAAAAAAAATCGAATTTTAACCAAAATTTCGGTCGTTTTTGGCCTGCCAAAATTCGATTTTTGATCGGATCAAAAAACCGATAGTTCATGGTACGTAGAACTATATAAAGAACATGTAAAAAAAATTTGGTAGTGATCGGATCATTAGTTTTTGAGTTATCACTGCAGCAAATTCGGAAAATGCTGTTTCGAGAAAAACGCGTTTACAGATAAAATGATCGCTTGCACTGCTATGAGAGCGGCTGCTCTTAAAATTGCTATAACTCAAAAACTATTTGAGATATCGATTTTAAATTTTAATATGTTATTTTTAAAGGTGTAATCCACCGAAATATGAAAAAAAAATTTTTTGATTTTTTTAAAACTTCACACTAGTTGTGCCCCTTAAGTTCGCCACCATTTCGCTTCTCGCCTAGTTTGCCTTTGGCTTATGAGCGGAAGTACGTGTCGCTCGTCTCAAAAGAAGCCGGGACGGAACAAAAAAAAAATAGAAAATATAGCACAAAAAATTGAGAAAAAACTACGCACATTTGCCAACACCACCACAGGGGATAAATAAATGTGAGTGTTCGGGGTCGTGGGAGATGTTTAAATTTGATTTCAAGTGCTAGCGTTTTGATGGGGAAATAAGTGAATGCGTGTTGCGGCAGCTTACGTGTCCTTGTTATAGCCAAAACTTCCACTTCCAGCTGAAAGTTCGAGGCGAGCAGATAGCATTTAAGGAAAACTTTAAGTTTAGTTTCAGAACAGGTTAAGACAAGTGAGCTTAAAGCGCCAGATAAGACCGCAAAAAACTTCAATCAACCGCTGGGGAACTCACAAAGTTTCTTTAATGATTTTCGGAACTTAAAGAAGTTTGAGAAAAATTCCAGTTTTCCGGCAATACAATGTGCTCTGCTTTTACTAAGTCAGAGCCAGTTATTGAACTGACCACAGTTGTGAATTAAATTGACGTGAATATGACAATA